CCTTCTTGAAGACAGCCAGAGGTCTATTGGTAATCCCCCTTATGTATGCTGGGAGGCAATTGAACAGTCTTGGACCCCAGACACTTATTATGTTGTCTCTTGGTGTACTTGTGGCGCCCCTGCTTTTCATTGGGAAATGTTGCATCTCTTGCTGAGTCTCTTGCTTTCATAGGGAGTGATTTTCGTGTGCAGGTTTGGTACCAATCCCTCCAGGGCCTTCCAAGTGTATATTATCATGTATCTCTCTCGCCTGCATTTGAGGGAATACAGATCAAGGACCTTCAACCGTTCCCAGTAGTTTAGGTGCCTTATCGTACTTATGTGTGCAGTGAAAGTTCTTTGTACACTCTCCAGGTCTGCAATGTCGCCAGCCTTGAAGGGGGCCATTAGTGTACAGCAGTATTCCAGCCTAGAGAGCAAAGTGATATGAAGAGAATCATCATGGGCTTGGCATCCCTAGTTTTGAAGGTTCTCATCATTCATCCTATCATTTTCCTAGCGGATGAGGTAGATACATTGTTGTGGTCTTTGAAGGTGAGATCCTCTGACATTATCACTCCCAGGTCCTTCACATTACTTTTCCACTCTATTGTATGGTTAGAATTTGTGGTATACCCTGATACATTTTTAATTTCTTCAAGTTTCCCATATCTGAGTACATAGTTGAAATTTCTCTTAGTTGAACTTCATATTGTTTTGAGTGGCCCATTCGAAGATTTGGTTGATTTCCGCTTGGAGTCTTGCGGTGTCTTCAATGGAGGTCACTCCCATGGTGATCCGGGTGTTATCCTCAAAGGAAGACACGGAGCTATGACTTACATCTCTGCCTGTCTCAGAACTGAGGATGAGGAATAGAATGGGAGCGAGTACTGTGCCTTGTGGAACAGAGCTTTTTACCGTGGCTGCCTGGGACTTTACTCTGTTTACTATTGCTCTTTGTATTCTATTTGTCAGGAAGTTGTAGATCCATCTACCAGCTTTTCCCGTTATTCCTTTATCCCGCATTTTGTGTGGTCACACTTGTCAAAAGCTTTTGCAAAGTCTCTGTATACTACATCTGTATTTTGTTTATCCTCTTCAGCATCCAGGACCTTGTCATAGTGGTCCAGTAGCTGGGACAGGCAGTAGCGACCTGCTCTAAACCCGTGCTGCCCTGGGTCGTGTAATTGATGGGTATCTAGGTGGTTGGCTACCTTGCTTCTTAGAACACTCTCAAAGATTTTTATGATATGGGATGTTAGTGCTATCGGTCTGTAATTCTTTGCAATTGCTTTACTGCCACCTTTGTGGAGTGGAGCTATGTCTGTTGTTTTTAGTGTGTGTGGGATGACACCTGTATCCATGCTCCCTCTCCATAAAATGCTGAAGGCACGTGATAGGGGCTTCTTGCAATTCTTGATGAACACGAAGTTCCACAAGTCTGGCCCTGGGGCAGAGTGCATGGGCATGTCATTAATTGCCTCTTCAAAGTCTTGTGGAGTTAGAATAATATCCAAGATTTTTGGGATGACCAGATTTTGGGTTTCCTTCATAAAGAATTCATTTAAACTGTCAACAAGTCTGGGCAGTGGCTCGCTGGACACTGAGTCATATTAGGACTTTAGTATCTCACTCATTTCTTGGCTATCATCTGTGTATGTCCCATCCTGCCTAGGCAGGGGCCCAATACTGGATGTTGTTTTTTCCTTAGATTTGTCATAAGAGAAGAAGTATTTTGTTTTTTTTTCAGTTTCCTTTATGGCTTTTAGTCCTTCCTGTGATTCTTGTCTTGTATAAGATTCCTTCAGCTTAAATTCGATATATGCAATTTCATTGACTAGTGCCTCCCTTCGTATTTCAGATATATTGGCCCCACTCAGCAGCTCTGCGACTCTTCGCCTTCGTCTCTCTTTCTAGTTTACATCTTCCTTTTTCTTAATGGAATGTGTCTTGAGCAGATCTCAAGAACCACAGACCTCATTTTCTCAAGGCAAATGTTTGGATCCGTGTTGTTTAGGATATCTTCCCAGCTTGTTTCATTTAGGACATGGTGTCAGTATCTTATACCATTTCACTCCATTGTAGTACAGTGGACCCCCGACTAACGATATTATTTCAATCCAGAAGTCTGATCGGGTGCCGTTATAGACTGAATTTGTTCCCATAAGGAACATTGTGAATTAGATTAGTCCGTTTCAGACCCCCAAAAATACACCTACAAAAGCACTTACAAAAATACACTTACATAATTGGTCAAGTTGGGAGCTGATCGTTAGTCGGGGGTCCACTGTACTTGGTTTACTTTTTTAAGCCCAAATTTTAGCCAAGTTGTGTATGTCATCTTTCATATTAAATGTTTTAATATTTCTTCGAGCATCTCCTCCCTAGGCTCTCAAGTTGTTCCTCCCACCCATCAGAATCTACCATCACCAAAATTTGGCTTGTTTCCTCTTTTTTTATTTTGTGCTGCATGTTTAATTCTTTGTTTCATAGCCTGGACAGTAGATGTAGTGTTAGCTGAAAAAAATATTTTTTATATTACCACTGGAAAATTGCAGAGAATTATTACATGGATTCACAGGGGCATTATCATACAGTAATGTTGTACTTCTTGTGTCCACACCACTTGCTTCTACTTGGTATTCTGTAGCTTCCTGTCAAAAGATTTTATGGTTCCTATTACATACCTATGGGTTCTTTTACATACCTGTGAAGTACTACACCTGGAGCTGTAATACTTTACAGGTATGCTGTTTAATGTATATTTTAAAACTTATGATTTGGCATCCTTTTTTACAACTACAATTTTTGCTCTATGCCTTACATCACTATTGGCACAGACCAAAACAGTCTTTCCTTACTTAATGTCCCACCACTGACTCTTCTGTGCTGTTGGCTAAAGTAGAGCAGAGGAGGTCCCTGATCTTACCAGTACAGCTTAATCTCATTGCCATTATTAATTTAAAGTTAGTTTACATGTATGTGTGGTATGGTTATAAGTTATTTTGGAGGTAAGTTTGATTGTGGGGTGGTTGTGTTTCTGGTGAGTCATCAGAACCCAAATGCAGAAATGTTCTCAATGGCTAATAGGCAGAAGAGACAGTGACATAAGACCCATACAGTGATGGCTTATCCATAGGAGCTGCAGAGCTTACGCTAAAATAATTTGCAACTGACAAATATATTACAGGAAAAATCTGTTGTATGTTGTTTTCAATCTATTTATAATCGAGTTTTTAATTTTTTTTTTTACACAATGTTAATTTTTTTTGTTGAAACAAGATAAAAAAAATATTAAAAATAGAAGTTTGATGTGATACAATAGTATAGGTATTAAATAACAAAAAAGGCACAATACCGTGACTGGAACGATACACAAATAACCCACACATAAAAGAGAGAAGCTTACGACGACGTTTCGGTCCGACTTGGACCATTGACTTTGTCAATGGTCCAAGTCGGACCGAAACGTCGTCGTAAGCTTCTCTCTTTTATGTGCAGGTTATTTGTGTATAGTATAGGTATTACTGGCTTTACGAGCCGCCACTGGACCTATATATAAAATAAGAAAAGGATATTAAAAAGTAGCTAAGGGGAATTTCTTAACACTATCCAGTGGTTGAACAAGAGGCTTTAGGTATAAACTAAGAGGAAGAGGTACTGAAGGTTTACTATAAAGTAACAAAAGGTGATATTAATCATAGATTTAATGTTGAGGACATTATACATTGAGCAGAGTTCTGGTCATGTAGCTTCACTTAAGTAATTAGACCTAATTACTGAGAATACAAAGGGATGGCTCACTGAAGATTGTGGAAGAGGACATGAAAACCATTATCCAGCATGTACAAGTAATTTACATATTTACACTTACGTATTTGGTAGTAGATTTTGGTATCATAATAGATTACCATCAATAATATACAGTGCTCCCTAAAATACACATCATGCACTAATTCCCAGTTTTTATTTCTTGTCAGGCAGGTTTAGCAGGTATTATTCGAGTTCTGAAGGATGGGTGATCATGTTGCAATTCAGAGGGTCATTTCAATTGTGATGTCTGTTCACTTCTTATATGATAGCTATAGAATGAATAGTGGTGAATGCATTGCCTCCTTTAAATTACTTATCTTGGTGAGAAACAACCAATTTCGCAAAAAGAATGTAGAATTTTTTTTTTTTTAGGTTCACTACTGTATATTAAAAAAGTTAAACTCTTGTTTATGAATACTGTACTGCAGTTTTATTTTATTTTTAACATACTCAATGTCTTCCACTGAGATAGAGTGACAGAAAAGAGGAAACACTTTCACTGTTATTCATTGAATCACTGTTTTGCTAGAAGCATACTGACATCACAGTTCTGATATGCGGCATCCACATACCTCCTTCAGAGTGTAGGCATTGTACTCCCCACTTCCAGAGCTGAAGTCCAGCTAACCAGTTTCCTTGAATCCCTTCATAAATGTTACCTTGCTCACACTACAATAGCATGTCAAATCATAAAAACCACTGGCCTCCACTCATTCCTAACATGTTCACACAGATCTGTTGGATATCCAAGCCCTGGCACTCAAACAACCTTTACCCCTCTCTTCAACATTTCCTTGGATGGCCCCCAAACCTTCTTTCCCTCCACCCCAGATTTATGCCTTACTTATTCTATTTTCCTCCATCTTCTCTAACTGTCAAAACTACAACCCTCCTAAGCCTTCTAATATCTTATGGTAACCCCCACACCTTTTTCTAATTTTCTTATGGCTTTATCATTCTTATTTTAACATGGCCATCTTCCACCGAGGCAGGGTGACCCCAAAAAAAAAAGAAATGTAAATTTTTTTCTTTTTACATTCAGCAATTTATACAGAAGGGGTTACCAGCCCCTTGCTCCTGGCATTTTATCACCTCTTACAACACACGACTTACGGTGGAAGGTTTCTTCTCTACTTCCTGATGAAGTAAAAATATTTTTGCTGCTTTTAATTAATTTCATTATTTTTTTCTTTCCACATTTTTACTAGGCTCACTACATTTGTACCAGAATCTGCATCCACAGTTCAGAAGTTGATGTCATGGCTCACTGGAAGACGACCAGAATTTGTCGATCCAAAACTTATTACTCAGGGTAGAGGACGAGAAGGTAATTGTCAGAAATTGTGCATGGTAGTGTTGCCATTAAGAAATGTTAACTGCAAAATATGTTTTGTTGCCTAATAAAAAGACATAAGATACAGGTCACAGTCATTCATCAGGTTTAAAGAAGAGGAAATAAATTGAGACTATAATAAAACTTTTAGCAAAATTAAAGTCTAAAACAAATTGAAACATGAAGTCTAATACTAACATCATTAAATTTGTCAACTGTTGTATATGTAACAATATACATATATACAGTGGTACCTCGAGTTACGAACTTAATTCGTTCCAGAAGACTATTCGAGTGCTGTTACCGAACGAATTTGTTCCCATAAGGAATAATGTAAACTAGGTTAGTCCGTTTCAGACCCCCAAAAATACACTTAAAAAAGCACTTACAAAAATACACTTACATAATTGTTTGAGTTGGGAGCTGTTTGAAACTCGAGGTACCACTGTATATATAATGTTTCTAAGGCCAAAGCACCAACACAAAAGCCTCTTTCTTTTTGTTGCTGTTTTGTCTAATTAAATTTTAAACCAAGATTTTCTTAAGAGTGTGCTTATTTTTTTTTTTTTTAACACACTGGCCATCTCCCACCCAGGCAGGGTGACCATCATTTACACATAATCACTGTCTTTGTAGAGGTGCACAGTTATGACAGTTCAGATGTCATTCCAAGCAGCAGATGTCCCCAACCCCTTCTCTGAATTGCAGGCATTGTACTTCCCACCTCCAGGACTCAAGTCCGGCTAACCGATTTCCCCGAATCCCTTCACAAAATATTACCCTGTTCACACTCCAACAGCTTAATTTTGTATGTTTTTATTTACCTTAAACTCACCAGTGCATTTTATATAATAATTTCATCAATTTTACAGTGACACGTGTGAGATCCCAAGGAGAAATTACCGTGACCTTCAATGTGATGATGAAAGACTTCGCAAAATTTGGGTACGATTGTGGGGCAACTGGCAGGACACCATACCTTGCTGCGCCTGTCAAACCACCACCAAGTATAACTGTTCCAAGAGAAGGACAGAGTGATGCATGATTCTTGTTATTGTTTCAGTGGTACACTGTATTATTTTTAACCCACCTACAAATTGGCACACACAGTGCCAGTGTTTGCTAGCAAGATTAGAAGAATATATTTTGGAGGGGATTTCATGGGAAAAATGATAGGTGCAAATTGATGCTGTATTGTGGTTAAAGTTGCAGAACATTGAGTACATAGAAGAAATAAGAAACAGGAAAGCAAAAATATGATAGAAAAGTTAAATAGTACCTGTGCAGTGTAAGTCTTCCTATAAAATGTTATCTGGATGACAGCTGGGGCTTCACAGTCCTGTGTCTGTGAATAAGATATGGTTTAGTAGCCTAGTTGGTATAATGGTCATTTTGTGTGAGGGTCACACACATGTATATTTCAATCATGTTATAAATAGGAAGATAAATTCAGAGGCTTTTCAGATTTCTCAAAAGTTTGTATAGAATACCAAATTAATTACCGAGTTAAGTTACTCAAGAAGAGAGAGAGAGAGCATTTCAAAGAACAAAGGAGAGCTAGTAAAGGCAGTCATAGTGCCTTCACCAGTCGTCCCTAAGATGTAATTTTTTCTCTTTTGAAAAGGTTTATGACTTATTTCAGGAATGTTCTTTCAGCCTGTATGGCCTTCTTCTCCTGTAAATGTTTCTGACAATGACCATTTTTTTTATTAGCTAAAGTAAGGGGGATACTGTACATGTTTGTACAGTCTATCATTTATATAATGTGTGCACACTTTGGATCGCTCTACCATGCTGGCAGACAGCTCATGTAGTTAAATAAAAAAAATTGCTCTATGTATATTTGCAAAACTTTTTTAAACAGGTTTAGCACTTTGTATACTTTGAGTTATTTCCTTTCCTCCTTCCCTTATTTCTTCACCCAAAAACAGTCTGATCCATATGAGTTTAGTGCTTTTTGAGAATTAATAATATTTACTCTAGAAAACCTTCAAGGGAAGTGCCGTCACCTTGATGGTGAAGGGATTGTAATCTCTTATAACAATATTGTACATTGGTAATGTTTTGTAAATGTATAATTTTGGTGTCTTATTATTATTATTATAATCAAAACAAAGCACAAACATAATTTTGGCATTTTAATATAACATACACTCATCTTCGAGAAAGTCTCCTTGATGCCAGTGCTTCCCTTTCTTGGATCAAACCTGAATGCCTATCATTCCCCCAGGTACTGTATGACTCCCTACAGGTTTAACACTTTCCTACAAATTTAATAAGTACATACTGTACAGTGGACCCCCGCATACCGTACGCATCACATAACGTTCAATCCGCATACCGCTCACTTTTATCGCAAAAATTTTGCCTCGCATACCGCTCAAAAACCCACTCACCGCTCTTCGTCCGAGACGCGTCCAATGTGCACCCTTAGCCAGCCTCACATGTGCCGCCAGTGGCATTGTTTACCAGCCAGCCTCCGCGGTAACATCCAAGCATACAATCGGAACATTTCGTATTATTACAGTGTTTTTGGTGATTTTATCTGCAAAATAAGTGACCATGGGCCCCAAGAAAGCTTCTAGTGCCAACCCTACAACAATAAGGGTGAGAATTACTATAGAGATGAAGAAAAAGATCATTGATAAGTATGAAAGTGGAGTGCGTGTCTCCGAGCTGGCCAGGTTGTATAATAAACCCCAATCAACCATCGCTACTATTGGTGGTACAGCTGCTGCTGCTGCTGCTGCTGTAGTACCGTCTGCTGCTGCTGTAGTACCGTCTGCTGCTGCTGTAGCATCTTCTGCTGCTGCTGTAGCACTGTCAGCTGCTGCTGCTGTTGTACCACCGTCAGCTGCTGCTGCTGCTGTAGTACCGTCTGCTGCTGCTGTAGCAACGTCTGCTGCTGCTGTAGCATCATCTGCTGCTGCTGTAGCACTGTCAGCTGCTGCTGCTGTTGTACCACCGTCAGCTGCTGCTGTAGTACCGTCTGTTGCTGCTGTAGCATCGTCTGCTGCTGCTGCTGCTGCTGTAGCACTGTCAGCTGCTGCTGCTGCTGCTGTAGCACCGTTGTTGGTGTGGCTTATTGAGAATACCAAGAAACAATTAACCCCAGAGGATTTGCCACCCAGGATAACCCAAAAAAGTCAGTATCATCGAAGACTGTCTAACTTATTTCCATTGGGGTCCTTAATCTTGTCTCCCAGGATGCGACCCACACCAGTCGACTAACACCCAGGTGAACAGGGAAAGATGCCTGGAACTAGTGCTCATATTGGTGAATTTAAAGCCAGCAAAGGTTGGTTTGAGAGATTTAAGAATCGTAGTGGCATACACAGTGTGATAAGGCCTGTTCTGGAAGAAAATGCCAAACAGGACCTACAGTACTCAGGAGGAAAAGGCACTCCCAGGACACAGTGTCTCATCAGTCATTGCTGCATCTTCAATAAAGGTAAGTGTCATTTATTCTTCATTTAGTAGAGTAGTACATGCACAATATATATTGTGCATGTACTACTCTACTATTGTGCATGTATCCTTCTCTTTGTGTGTAGGAAAATGTATATTTCATGTGGTAAAAAAAATTTTTCATACTTTTGGGTGTCTTGCACGGATTAATTTGATTTCCATTATTTCTTATGGGGAAAATTCATTCGCATACCGATCATTTCACATAACAATGAGCCCTCTTGCACGGATTAAAGTCGCTATGCGGGGGTCCACTGTATATACAGTTAATACATTAATGGGGTGTGCTAAACTTGTAGGGGTCATGCAACACCTGGGAAAAAATGGGAAATATTCAAGTTCAGTCCAGGGAAGGAAAGGACACAGTGGTGGAACCAAGGCAAGCTTGGGGGCTGAAGCCACCCAAAATTTCCCCCCCCCCTAATAAAAATAGTATACTAACACTGCTTCAAAACAAGTCTCCTAGCCCCAATTCCAACCAAGCTCCTGGCATAGAAATTCTGGTGATGCCTCTGGGAGGGTGGGTTCAAATTCCTTCGATCAAGATCCCCTCCCTAGCATCAAGGAACTTTACTTGAGGGATCTGTATGTATACAGTACTGTACTGAAAATTGGAAAATTTTGGATGAAGACCATTGTGCTCTGTATATTTTTATGTGTAAATTAAATACAAGTGTATGTTTGTAAATAATTGTGTTCATTTGCAAACTGATGAACATGTGTATGCACATGTGCCCACACACACACACACAAGAGCTTACGTGGGGGGAGCAAAGTTACTAGTCATGGGTGATTTCAATCACAAGGAGATTGACTGGGAAAACCTGGAGCCCCATGAGGGTGCTGAAACATGGAGAGCAAAGATGATGGATGTGGTACTTGAAAACCTCATGCATCAACATGTTAGAGACACTACCAGAGAGAGGCGAGGACAATCCAGCAAGACTAGACCTTGTATTCTCCTTGAGTAGTTCGGACATCGAGGATATCATGTATGAAAAGCCCCTAGGAGCTAGTGATCATGTGGTTCTGTGCTTTGACTACATAGTTGAGCTACAAGTGGAGAGAGTAGCAGGAATAGCATGGAAAAAAACCAAACTACAAAAGGGGAGACTACACAGGCATGAGGAACTTCCTGCAGGACGTTCAGTGGGAGAGAGAAATGGAGGGAAAATCAGTAAAAGAAATGATGGACTATGTGACGACAACAAAATGCAAGGAGGCAGAGGAGAGGTTTGTTCCCAAGGGAAACAGAAATAGTGGGGAGCAAACTTCCCAGGATCTAGGAGGAAAACTAAGATGTGGCTTCACCAGACAAAGGTTGTAGGAAGAATGGGGAGACCAAAAAACTACCAAAGGTGTAGGAAGGCAAAAACTAGGTGTCAGTCAAGGACCAGGTAATCAGATTGAGGAAGGATGATGGGGAGTTCACAAGAAACAACCAAGAGGTGTGTGAGGAGCTCAACACACAATTTACCTCAGGGAGTTGCCCAGTTTCAATGGATGTGTTGAAGATCTTTGTTAGTGGCACACACAGCATCTCTGCTCCCTCTCTAAGGGCCCACAGAGAGATGTTGTCTGGTCCCACTGCCTTTGAGGTATCAAGTTCACATAGCAGCTTCTTCACCTCCTCCTCAGTTATGTGTACCTCATCCAGCACTTGTTGGTGTACCTCCCTGTTCTGATTTCCTGGAGTCCTACCAGTTTCCACTGCAAATACTGGTAGGACTCCAGGAAATCAGAACAGGGAGGTACACCAACAAGTGCTGGATGAGGTACACATAACTGAGGAGGAGGTGAAGAAGCTGCTATGTGAACTTGATACCTCAAAGGCAGTGGGACCAGACAACATCTCTCTGTGGGCCCTTAGAGAGGGAGCAGAGATGCTGTGTGTGCCACTAACAAAGATCTTCAACACATCCATTGAAACTGGGCAACTCCCTGAGGTATGGAAGATGGCAAATGTAGTCCCAAGTTTTAAAAAAGGAGACAGACACGAGGCATTAAACTACAGACCTGTGTCATTAACGTGTATAGTATGCAAAGTCGTAGAGAAGATCATCAGGAGGAGAGTGGTGGAGCACCTGGAAAGAAACAAGTGTATAATCGACAACCAGCACGGTTTCAGGGAAGGAAAATCCTTCCCTGTAAAAACTCTAGTAGGTCACAAACCTACTAGAGTTTTATGACAAGGTAACAGAAGTAAGACAAGAGAGAGAGACGTGGATAGACTGTATTTTCTTGGACTGCAAGAAGGCCTTCGACACAGTTCCTCACAAGAGGTTACTGCAAAAGCTAGAGGATCAGGCACACATAACAGGAAAGGCACTACAATGGATCAGAGAATACCTGACAGGGAGGCAACGAGTCATGGTACGTGACGAGGTGTCAGAGTGGGCGCCTGTGACAAGCGGGGTTCCACAAGGGTCAGTCCTAGGACCTGTGCTGTTTTTGGTATATGTGAATAACATAACGGAAGGGATAGATTCAGAAGTGTCCTTGTTTGCAGATGATATGAAGTTAATGAGAATTAAATTGGTCGAGGATCAGGCAGGACTACAAAGCGACCTGGACAGGCTACAAGCCTGGTCCAGCAACTGGCTCCTTGAATTTAACCCTGCCAAATGCACAGTCATGAAGATCAGGGAAGGGCAAAGAAGACTGCAGATACAGTATAGTCTAGGTGGCCAAAGACTGCAAACCTCACTCAAGGAAAAGGACCTTGGAGTATAACACCGAGCACATTTCCTGAGGCGCACATCAATCAGATAACTGCTGCAGCGTACGGGCATCTGGCAAACCTAAGGATAGCATTCCAATACCTCAGTATGGAATCGTTCAAGACTCTGTACACCATTTACATCAGGCCCATACTGGAGTATGCAGCACCAGTTTGGAATCCACACCTGGTCAAGCACGTCAAGAAATTAGAGAAAATGCAAAGGCTTGCAACAAGACTAGTCCCAGAGCTAAGGGGACTGTCCTACAAAGAAAGGTTAAGGGAAATTGGCCTGACGACACTGGAGGACAGGAGGGTCCAGGGAGACATGATGACGACATGTAAAATACTGCGCGGAATAGACAAGGTGGAACAAAGACAGGATGTTCCAGAGATGGGACACAGAAACAAGGGGTCACAATTGGAAGCTGAAGACTCAGATGAGTCAAAGGGATGTTAGGAAGTATTTCTTCAGTCATAGAGTTGTCAGGCAGTGGAACAGCCTAGAAAGTGACATAGTGGAGGCGGGAACCATACATAGTTTTAAGACAAGGTTTGATAAAGCTCATGGAGGAGGGAGAGAGAAGACCCAGTAGCAATCATTGAAGAGGCGGGGCCAGGAGCTTTGACTCGACCCATGCAACCACAAATAGGCAAGTACAAATAGGCGAGTACATGCCATAAATGAGTTTCTTGCCCAATACCAAAACTCGTTATTATGTATAGATTCCTTTACTGTATACAGGGTATTTTCATTATATTAATTTTCCAATAACTTATAAAAATGTGCCAAGTTTTTCCATTATAAGTACTATCAGAAATAGTCATAGGTTATTGTTTTGTATAAAAAATTAGCAAGTTAAAATAAGAAGCCTTTTTTTATATATAAATTATATTGTTGACGATGGTAAACAATATCAGGAGCCATACATGACCAACATATTACAATCAGGCAAATGTTGCACATAAGAAGAGTAACATAGTTAAAAATATATCCTCATATACAGGAGGTTCCTCAGCCCTCAAATGAGTTGCATCCCTGGTGATGGAACTTACAGATGAGTTGCATTCCTAGTGTTTGAGCTTACATATAACTTGCATTCCTGGTGTTTAAATTTAAAAATTAGTTGTATTCCTGGTGTCTGAATGCACAAATGAGTTGCATTCCTGATTGTTTAGCTTACAAATGAGTTGTCTGTATAAAAAATGGTATGAAAAGAATTGTTATACTTTGTATATTTTCACACTGCGTATCAGCAGTTGTAAAAATTTAATTGGGTCCTAATTGCCTCTTTTGCATTATGGATGTTTGTAACTTGGATATCTGTATCCTGGGAGGCCTTATATGCACTATAAAACACAACTTATAACTTATTCTGCAGCTCATTTGGCATCCCACCAGAACAGTCCTGTATAACAGACATTTTGTCAGAAACGAGTATTTTTTTTGCACTGTGTGAAGAGAACACGACTGTGAAATGTAGTGTGGTTTATTCTGCAAATGTGTAAAGCTTTACAAAATGCTGTGAACCCTTGATTTATCAGACTTATAGGGGTAAAGGTGTTCATTATAGCCAATTGTCTGTTAAATCTGTATTATGAGATTTTTACTATGATTATAACATTAATGGACAATTTTCAGATTTAATGGCCTTGTTCCATTAATTAAAAAGTAAATTTAAACAGTAAATTGCAACAGTGAGGGATAATTCTGGATTTAATGAACTTTGCCTGTTGAATCTGGAATTGCTCATTAAAAATGGCATATAATTCTCATTTAACAGAGTCTGTTAAATTCAAAATAAATTTACTGACTAGACCATAGGAATAATGGACAATTTTGGATTTAATGCTGTTTGCTTCTAAATGTTGTCCTGCCACAGATTTTGCCAGTTAAATACAAAATCCTTTAAATTAGTCTTAAATTGAGGTTTTACCGTATACTGTACTGTAGATCATCAAAGTAATGCCAACTGAGCTTGAATGTGGTTATACAGCAGACCTTCTCCCGCCCCCCACCCCCTACCTGATCGCTTAATGTAATTTTAATTAACCAAAAAATAAAAACAGGATTGTTTCCCTATTTAACAATTGCCTCATGATCATACAGTGGCTAAATTCCTGGTAACAGGCTCCCACCCACTTAATAATGTTCTCTCGCTCATGTGACTAAATGACTGAGCAATATTATTCAGTTTCTTTTGATTTTGTAATAATCTATCTTCAAATATTGGTCTAAACTGATTTATATTGACAGTCATACAAAATCATTACTAAAGGAAAATGACTGAGTGAGAGCAATCCCATGAGCATATTTCAAATGAAATCCTATGCTTGAGTGTTTTGGGCCATGTCAAAACAAAATGAATGCCAGGGTAGATGAAGTATGTTTGAAATTTAGGTTTTATATTTTTTAATTTTTGGGATCCAATTCATTTTTTTTTTTTTTTTTGTATATGATCATATGATGTGTGTGTATATAATGAGCTCATTTTTGGGAGAAGCATTCTTCAAGAATGAAAAAAAAAAATAGAAATTTGATGGGTTATCAACCCAGTCTCCATCTCATGTTATAACGTGGGTTTCTATGGGTAACTGTGATTTACTCAAAGTATTTACTGCTCAATGAACCTGTTTTCTGGTCCCTAGTTAGGTCATTAAATGGGGGTCTACTGTATAACATTAGCCATTCTAAAAATGTTTTGGCAGACCAGTGTTTATTTTTGTGCAGAATAAGAAGCTAATCATATTTTTTATAACTAATTAATGAAACAAAGCACAAGTTGTTTGCTATTATACTGTAACATATACAAGCGAATATTTTAATTTTAATTGCTTATTGCAAATTATTTGCACACTAATGGTTTGTTCTCATGTTCTTTTGAGTAACAGAGAGCATAAACAGAGAAAGTATAAATATTAAACCCTTTGTTAATCAAAGCACTAGGGTAACTAAAAAAAAAAACGCAATATATGTAGATATCATATATAAAATGCAAGTTGAATTAATTAATTTCTAAATAAATTACAAAATGGAATTTTTTAAAGTCATCAACCATTATGGCTTTTTTCTTTTTTGTCTTTTCAAGCTTTATTTTCCCCATTCTCAAGGCAATGCTGCAGAATTCTGGTAAATAAATGTATTTTACAGCTTTTCATTTATATCTGATCATACACAAATGTAGTGTCTCTTATGCTATACTATCAACACTGCCTATAAACCATGATATATATGTACAGAGGTCAAAGTTGGATAACTTATAGCAAGTTACATTAATGTATAAACAGGACATGTCTAATTATGTTTCTGCTATTTTTTTCATACAAATATAAGATGTGCCTCAACTTAGAAATAGTAAAGTGCATTCCTGCTTTTTCAACTTACAATAAAGTTGCTTGTATTGAAAACAATAGTAGAAAGGATAGTTATGCAGACCTCCTGTATAATGTTGCTGCCTGAGACAAAAGCAATATTGCCAATAACAAATAAAAAAAATGCAAACTCAACGAAGCACTGAAGTGAGTGTATAAACATGTAAGCTTTTCATCAGGTTTTTCTCTATAACATTAACTATACAGACACCCAAAACTAAAACATACTAAAAAGGAAACTCCACAAGGAATTATTGAAGTTAAGGAACAGTAACATATTTACATAATCACAAGATGTTACAATATTTACACAAAAATAAATTTTACATAATGATTTTATCTTACAAATAACAGCTCTCACATCTACTGCATTAATGTACTGCTTGGCTGAAGATGCCTCGGAATCACCAGTGACATCCCGCTTCAATACTAACAATCTCAATGTTTTAGGTATGTAAACGCTGAAAGGCTCATACGAGTCTTCATATTTTTTTTGTGAACACAATTTTATATAAACAAAAATTCAGTAATTTTTAAGAAATAACCAGTACTGTACTAATTAAGTACATTTAGCTTCAACTATAATTTATGTGCTTCAAAATAGATATAAAGAAAGTTTATTTCATGTATTACTGTATTGTATACTGCCAGCCTCTGTAACAAACTAAAATGATTTTCCAAGGGAGTCTCTGCTACTAGGTGAAATTTTATTCAAATTATATGTAGGTTGATAAAATGTATTCTTTGCTTTAATTACTGTATATATCACGAGGCATGACATTCCTGAAACATTTCTCATGACTTAAATATTCATCTCTCTAATTATCTTATTTGTAGTATTTATTGGCTGTAGACAGTACATAATACTGTACTTGATAAAAAATATTACTGTAAAACAGAATACTTTAATAGCCCAGCTATCTGTAATAAAGTTTTTCTAATGTAGAACCCTGGATGACCCAGTTGGAATATATTATATTTATTCCTACCTAATACCTGCTTCTTCTATCCTCTAGAATGAGCTCATATTTTGTACCCATAATAAATTCATCTCTCCCACTCAGTGGTTGTTACCAGGTGTTGTACTGTGGTATGCATGTGCCAGGTTGGACATGCATGCAAGAATTTTTTTTTTAATATCTCCTCCTACAATGACACAAGATTTATTTAACTGTCACTTTCCCTGGACTTTAGGTACTCTATAGTGTAGCCTCCTTACCTTTTTAGACACATTCACCATTACATCTCCTTCCTCAAGTGCATGAGTCTACCTTGTGCCTATGTACTCCAGTTGGGTAGCACCCAATGAGCTGGGCAAATAAGGCTGTTCTAAACACAAACAAGTTATGTATCGTGTCCAAATAAAAATAAATAAATAAGACCGTACCAATAATAATAATCTTTATTTCTACATGTACAATGTATACAGGCCTAGCTGATATCAGTGACATACTATATAGAAAGCCCTTTGTTATGCAGAGAATTTCAAGCAAGTTATGTCAATTTTGTTCCCAGGATGTGACCCACACCAGTCGACTAACACACAGGTACCTACTTTACTGACAGATGAACAGGGACAGCAGGTGTTTTAAGGAAAAACAACCTAATTTTTCACCCATACCGGAGACTGAACCACGGACCTCAGTGTGAGAACTGAGTGCACTAGGAATTGAGCTACGGGACACCATAAGGAAGTAAGATTATTATTATAATCAAAAAGAAGTGCTAAACCACAAGGGCCTAAGAAGTAAGAGAGGTATGTATTAGGCAATTATTATAATCAAAGAAAGTGCTAAACTGACAAGGGTCATACAGCGCTGCGGGGCAGAAAATACTACTGGGGCTATAAACAGCTAGGTAGAGAGGGGATCAGAGGCACGAGGAAAAAAGGGCTGGCAGGGATGCTAAGGGCTGTGTGTCAAAGTTCATACAGTAAAGCAGTTGCTGACAAAGTCAAAAAGTGATTGTAAGTCAGACAGGGCCATCTGCAAGAAGGAAAGATAGGTAAGAGTGGTAGGGTGGCAGCGGGGTTGGAGGTAAATCCTGTGAGCTCACTGGTAAACCGGGCAATCTACAAGAAAGTGAAGAACCGAAATAGGGACCTGACGAACCTCACAGAGAGGAACTAGGTGTTGTTCTATGAGAAGGTAGTAGGCAAATATAGGAATATGTTTCAATTGGACCACTCAGGGCACCACAGCAGAAATCCATCCTTCTGCAGTCAAAATGCAGTTTTACTTCATTTTTCACCAGATTCCTAATGATTGTCATCAATGTTACAAGCATGTGTTGCATTTGTTTACATATGAATTTTTTTAAATATACCAGTAAAATAAAATAAAGTTACTATAACTCTTACAAAAAGTTAATAATTTAACTCTTAGTATACTGTATATGCAAATAATGTTTGAACACAAAGTATGGAGAAAAATACATATAACAAAATGATGAGAATTTTCTTGATCACCAGTCTTTTACTTGAAGTTTTTAATATACACTATCTTATTCTTTTCAGATAGAATTCTTTAAATATGAAAGCTACTGTACCAAGATGGTTCTCAAACATCTATTATGTAGGCTAACTTCTATTTTAAATATGAAAATTACCTGATAGTGTTAAAATATGTTCTCTGTATCTCCCTCTGTATACTATATCATGATCTTAATTCTCTTTTAATTATATCAGTTTAAATGGCAGAGCAGCAAAATAACTTTTTATAAACAGTATAAAATAACCTCTTCAACTGGATTATATAATGCATTTTGTCTGTTGTTCACTCTTTCAGAAGCTGACGTGATAATCTGCTAAACAGACTTTTTACGCCATTGGTTTAAACTTATATAACCTAATGACCTATAGTAAGGGTAAACATTAAGAGCTGATACATATCTTTGTCCACATTGAGCAATGAATTCAAAGAAACAGACTGCAAATATTATTACTTAGAGGTCAGTCCTCTTGTTACAAAACATTATACATCCAAAATTTAATCCATACTCTTCTGTAATTTCAAGATACAGCAATATGTCAAAACACAGCTTTGGCATATTATAAGACTCTGAAAGGCAAAGGTCATATCTGCTAACTTATTCACACAACATTTTTGTCAGCAACATCAAAAACAGTTTTTACACACGTTTTAGGTAGAAGACAATGACTGGTATACTGTATCTACACTATGTCATTACAGACCTACAGATGATGCGAGACAAACATGTACTACTGTATCGGATAAAAAATTTTGAACCTAGACCTAATAAGAATATTTAGTGTTTTCTCTGGTATGGTAAATGTATGATGGTGTGTCTAGGTGATGAAACTGGATGTCTACTGTATTGTATACTGTAATATATCACTGAAATAGTGCATTCTTATTAGGATTAGTTTCAGAATATGTTTACAAAACTACAGTAGTTTGGATACCACAGCCCAAAAATCATGATACTACACCATGTTCATGTGCAGAAGCTTCTGTTATGTAAGGAGATTTTACTCCTTTATTAATGACATCCCCTTCAAGGGGACACCCTGAAGATGGTGAAAAGCTCTTGATCCATGGAATTGCAGGCACCCTCCCTTCACTGGAATGAAACCCAATTATTACCCATTCTCCAAGCATTGTATGACCCTAATGGGTCAGTCTGATACACTATAGGGAACCCTGCACCCTATATTCATATTACATGAGTGTTTGGCTGCTTACATTAATGCAACATCTTTTACTGCAGTGTGATCTATTCAGGTTTAGCACTTTCTTGTATTAACAACAATAATAATAATAATGGTATCTTTATACACTCATTAGCAACACTGCTATGTCTGCCAAATCTTTTACTGATGTTTATCTTGTAAAGTACTCTGCTCATGTTATCATCTATACCATTGGTATTTTTGACACAAAGTTTATGCCTGTGAAACACGAGTGTTAGTTTAGATAACATTACACTATGGGAGGCTCCATCATAATACTATGAGAGATTCCATTATGACACAATGGGAGGCTCTACCATGACACTGGGAAGCTCCATGGCATCATAGGAAGCTCCATCATGAAACAGCAGCATTACACTGATGTCACCAAGCAGTACCACAAGGAAGACTTACACACTACCTAAAAGAAAAAATGTACTTAAATTGATAAAACTAAATATAATAAAGATTTTAATGAAACAATAAAATATGTAAGACAAGAAAAGCCTGCTAACAAATTTTTATAAATTACATAAATGAAGTTTTCAAATTTAATGCAAGTTATAACATGATTGTTATTCTTGTTGGTGAAAGACAGGTGACTGCATGCTGATGAATTAGGGCTACCCCTCCCCATCCTTGGATGAGATCTGATTAGTCCCCATTCTCTTAGTGAGGTAAAAGCCCCATGGAGTTTGCATTTCCCATTGAATATACAGTACCAGTATTAAAACGGTAAAACCTCTTAATGGACTACTGAGTGGAGGGGTGTATGATAATGCTGATTGTCTGCAAATACAGAATTATGAAATATTTCACAATCATCCAGTTGTCTTCTGAAGTAGTGGATATGGTCCACTGATGCAGAAGACAAATGGATACTAAGAATAGGGGTATTGTAACCTTTAGTACTACAGTATAGTACTGCACTGTATAGTAATTTTATAGTATGTACTGTATATTAATCTTATAGTATGTACTGTACTATTTAGAGAAATTTTACTTCCCTTTTCATGGTGAAGAGAAGAGGTTGAAACTGCTGTGATCGACAGTGGTGACTCAGAATAAAAGTTATTCTAAGTCAGAGGAGGTGTAAAGCTTTACTAGTGAAAATAATGTAGATAGCTGAGAAGAGGTAGATAGCTAAGAATATGTACAGGGCTGAGAAGCATAAATGGCTGAGAAGATGTAGGAGGCTGAGAAACAAATGTTTTCTCTCGGCACCACCACTTGCTTTAGAGGCCTTTGTAAATTGCACTTTACTAATTGTGCTAATAAAGTCACACATAATGAACTAAATCCTGGAAAAATTAGAGACTGAATGTATGAATGAGTACATACAAACAAACTGGCTCTGGTGGCCTAGGGCTCAGGGAACTTCGAAAACAGACAGGTTTTGGACATGGCTGCTTTGGCCCTTACTGGACTAACACCAGAACTGACTTGGACCAATACTTCACAAAATAACCAGACACTATCAGTACACACTAAAATTTAGAATTATGCACTTCTGTCTGATAACTGGAGATTTGTCCTGCCAGTTTTTTGTACAAAATTGCCAAAATCCATTAATGAGAGGTTTTACTGTAATTCAGTATAGTACAGTGGACCCCCGCATAACGATTACCTCCAAATGCGACCAATTATGTAAGTGTATTTATGTAAGTGCATTTGTACGTGTATGTTTGGGGGTCTGAAAGGAATAATCTACTTCACAATATTCCTTATGGGAATAAATTCGGTCAGTACTGGCACCTGAACACACTTATGGAGTGAAAAAATATCGTTAACCGGGGGTCCACTGTACTTAGAATTGTTAGAAACACTGTATTTACTTACCACCCCATTCAAAGGAGGTTTCTGACACTGGTGAGGGACTCTTGATCAAAGGAATTGAACTTTACTTCCTCTTCCTTGGATCAACCCCAAATGCCTAAAATAACCCAGAATTCATTGTGAATGAAATTATCTGCTTACCCAGCCTGGCTTAAGTCAAACACTTTGCCATTGTTGTTGCCATTGCCATAGGATTTAGGTGCTGCATGTCCATCTACTCCTGACTGGTGGCACAGGAGGAAGGTGACTATCTCGTTCCTTCCCTCTAGAGCCATCACTACAGCCTTCCCGTCACTGGAGATCTCACATGCAGTGATGGCTTGGTCAGGTGTCATCACGGCAAGGCTAGTACCTGTACCAATTAATGTTTATTTAAAAAATTATTACAATTATCAAGCTGAAATCAGTATAGTAATTGACTTCAGCTTAAAAAGAAGACTGTTATAATGAACAGAAATCATCCATCCATAATACCAACTGCAGTTTAATGCCCTTTCTTTCATGAGTAGTGCCTTGATTCTGGTGAAAAGTTCTTGATCCAGAAATCAAACGTTACATTCATGAGACACTGTCTGATCTCAAGGGATTTAGCTCTTCCCAATGATTATATATTTTCCATAATTATTTGCACCTTAAATTCTCTTAATTGGGAGTGTCCTGATGCCAGTGAAATGTTCTTGATCCAAGGAACTGGAGTTACCTTATAATCTTTTATCAAACCTGATTACCTCCCATTCCCCTCCACTCTATGACCTGCAAGGGTTTAGCACTTTCCCTGAGCTGAACTAAAAATAATGAACCATACCAGTGTGAATGTCCCAGACTCTGAGAGAACGATCCCTTCCCATAGAGTCGTAGGTAACACACTGAAGTCCTCTGTTGTCCAGTCTGATGGTGGTTGGTGGTGCTGTGTGGCCCTTTAGAGTCCACCGCGCATTACCTGAAAAGTGTTCATACATTACTTAATTACAAGTGTTCATGCATTACTTAACCCTTTGACTGTCGCAAGCTCCTTTCTGAAACTCATTCTGTCACAAAATTTTTTGAAAAAAAACAAAAAAAAATTCCTTATGAAATGATAGAGAATCTTTTCCCGGTGGTAATGACACTAAAAGTACGAAATTTGGTTGAAAACTCACGGAATTACGCTCCTGCGAAGTTAGCGGTCTCAGCGACATATACGCATCGGTGATTTCGCCAACTTTGAGCCCTGTTTTTGGCCAATTCTGTTGTTCCAGTTGACCAAACTCATAGCTATTTCTTTGGAACTCCATTTTTTCTATCAGTTGAGTACAAGAAACCAGTCAGAAATTGGCAATTTGGCCAATTTCATGCAAATTAAAAAAGATGCCAATTTCAAAACAGGGTCCAGAATAAACAATATAGACATTCTTGGCACTAAAATAACATACCCTCTGTTCATTAGTCACGTCTCTAGGTCCCTCTCATATTACTATTGCTTTCTATTTTGATTTTTTATTCATACAAAAAATACAAAATTTACTGTTATGCAGACTACTGCATTATTGTAAAAATGGTATAAATAATATCAGTGGACTAGTGAAAGAATATTAGACTTCCCAGTTGATGTGTATTGGAAGTGTGGTGTGATTTGCTTATTCCTGAACATTGGTAAAAATCGAACAATTCCGCTACTTTGAGCTCAATTTCAAAGTCGTTTTCATCGTGAAACTAATCAAAATCATCTCTATTTCTATAATATGTTTTCCATTTTATCACGTGAGACCATGAAAACCAGAATACAACTATAAATACTATATGAAAATACACCTCAAAGTCGGCATTTTAATCCAAAAAAAAGGTCAGAGTTTTTTTTTTTTCTCATTATGCACTGCATGCTGCAGGATTTTTTTTATGTGATGCACACTTATCACACAGACCCATTCTCTCACATGTGGGCCTACCAGCTTTCTCCTGCGTGATTTGAAGCCGCTAGAATTTATGCGTATTAATACGTCTGAAACAGTGGCTCGTAAGATGTATATAAATGACCAAAAGAGTCAAAGGGTTAATTATGAGCATTCATGCATTACTTAATTACTTGGTACAGCATATCATAAACACACACAAAACATACTCAAAGTATTGATCATAGCTCAAGTGTGACCAAACTGCTTTGCATAACTGTATGGTCTTCCATGAAAGAAGTGATGTAAACTGAACTATGTAACTAATATCTTCTAGCAAAATTATTATTTATTTTTATTATAAATAAAAATTATTTTAGCAAATACATGTACTGTACATTTATTAACTGATGCAAAAGAAGAGTACAGGAGGGCCCCACTTATACAGCAGGTTAAGTTCTGGGCTACTGCTGCAAAGCAAAAAATTGCTGTAAAGTAAAACATGGGCTTTTTCACTTTCAAATGCATATAAAAGCTGATAACATGTTTACACTGTCATATACTAAGTGAGCAATAGAGCTAGGCCTAAAAAATGCATATACAGTACACACATTACTTAAAACATTTTCATCCTTAGCTTACAGTGAGTGGTGAATAAAGATATTGTAGGAAGCTGAATAAATGAAGAATGGGTATAACTGAAAACAACTGTATTAGCGAAATGCTGTAAAACAAAGTACGTACTGTATATATGTACAAGATTTGTTTTATTGTTTTCTACCCGAGTTATTATTACAACCATTCTAGTGAGTGTGCGTTTAAGCCAGTAAAGGGCTCTTGGTTCAAGAAACTGAAGCTACCTTTCCTTTCTGTGAAGCAGCCTGCATGCAACCTTAATGACCCTCATGTAGTTGAAAGACTTCACCCCCACCAACCAAACCAACCCTACAAAAAATCCTTATTGCTATTACACATTCAAGGTGGCCACAGTACCAGTAATGAGGTCATAGGCCATCAACTTGGAGTCCTCCAGACCTATGATGACACAGCTGCCCGCTGATGATATAGCGATGGATATGATGTTGACCCCTGGCTTCCACTTCTTGAAGAGTGTGCCACTCTGCAGGTCGTAGACTACGATGAAATTAGGCGCTGGTTCATCCACTTCCTGAAACAGGAGGACCATGAAAAAGAGTCACTAAGAAATATTGTAATGCTCTGTAAGTTTAATTCTGGTTTAGTGCTCTATAATAATAATAATGCATAGCAAGAGAAAGTAGTATCTCACCCTACAGACACAGGACACATAGTGTCCCTCTTTCGTGATAGCCGCAAGTCGCGTAATGAACTCGTGATACGGGATGCGTAGGTCATACATCAACTTGCGTAGTTCCAAGTCCCACACTAGCAGAGCTGAGGGCTTTTGAGTCTCATCACCACACACACAAATTTTACCATTTTCTGACACCATTAGACTGTTGAGGAATCTGTCTTCTCCAACCTGGTGAAAATTCAAGAAGTCAGACATGACCCTGAAGAACTAGACTGTAATGCTGATAAAGCAAATTGCAGTGGCTATGAGGTTTTTTAAAGTAGGCAATGTTTGGATATTTTCTATTTAAAATTGATTCTAGTATTTCAGTGTGAATGAAAAATTTTGTGTTTTGTATGCTATGATATTCACTACCATCAATGTATCCTGTAAATTTGTGCACCACACTGCATAATAATGTATGTATATAATTACTTTACGTATAAAAGATGGGATGGCAAGAGGATATTTAAACAGCCTAGAGGGGAAACCTAAGTGTTTCTGACCTGAAGCTTTTTCATTTACTACTTCGAGGTTAAGGCTGCCTACATTTGCACCTAGAAGAGGACCTCAACTGTGAATGAAGTACTGTTCAGACATTTCTTGAGCATTTGTGAATGGCTTATCTGTAAATTCCTTGAAACATTACAGAACAGCTAATTGCATACAGTTTTGTTTACAATGATCTGGACTAGTAAGAAAAATGTCTTGTTACTTAAAATGTCACAGACCGGGCCGTGGGGGCGTTGACCCCCGGAACTCTCTCCAGGTCAGTCATGCACTTGCGAAAGATCAAGATTAGGATGGCTATTTATTCAAGTACAGTACAAGTATTTACGTACCCTTTAAGGAAAAGGAAGCCTGCTGAGGAATTTAACCCATAACCCTCAGTTGTGAGCCAACTTGCAGCTCACTTTTTAACCACAGAAATGATAATTCCACATTAAAAATAATAAAAATCTAAGAACGTTAAACATAAAATTATTATAGTTACTGTATATGTATCTGTTAACAGACGAAGGGTCAAGCCTACACCATTCCTTGTGCTAAATGATCTATGCAGGTTTAGCACTTCTAAAAGAAAAAAAATTATAAGTACAGTAGACCATTATATTACATGGTAGTTGCATTCCTGAAAATGCTGTGTTAGGTAAATCCATGTTAGATAAACTGAAGAACTTATGGGAAAAATAGGGTTACATTCCTCGGAACCCAAAAAAAGCCAAACAACTTTTTTTCAGATCTCCAGATTTTACAAAAATAAAAGTGAATATGTAATTGTAGTTCACTGTCGTGATGTATTATGTTATTTTTACTGCTTAAGGCTACAAATGCAACAGAAATAATAGTATTCCTTACCTTAAAGTGTGGGTGCTGGTGTTTGTGGATGATTGTGAAGAGAGTGAAGAATTATGCTGTGGCCCTACTGGGCTGAGGTGGATGGTAGAGGTTCTGGTACTGAAGTCGATGGCTGTACTGGAGTGTGCACAAATTCCGTAATGGATTTCCGTTCTATTTTATTCTGCAGCACATTATACAACTGACGGTAAGGCATCAGCTGCTCTAGACACCATTTCAGGGTCCTCTTCAGTGAAAAAGTCTAATTTTAATTCAGTCAAATCAGTAAATCAGTCCAGTCAGTCAGTCAGTAAATCAGTCAATTCAGTCAGTCAGTAAATCAGTCATGTCAGTCAGTCAGCAAATCAGTCAAGTCAGTCAGTAAATCAGTCAGTTAGTTATTCATCACACAAACTCATATTTACCTCATTCTTTTTAATTGCACAGTGACCTTTCATTATGGCCACAGGCTATCTCTTGTCTAATATCTCTATTTTCTTCATTAACTCTAAGACTTAAATGCTTATACCTTTTCTTGGCACTTTCAGCAACACTGGCATACCTACTGGGTGCCATGATTGCTTGGCAGATACAAGATATGGTAATTAAAAGATTAAAACACAATTCACAAACACAGCAAGCTCCTAAGACAGAATGGAACTGAACACGTATTCATGAAGGCTGGGATGGTGCTGGCGGGAGTGTCGGGGATTGCGGGAGGTCTCCCCTGTTGACTCACAAGGTGGCAGCTTGAGCTGGGGAAATTTTTTTCATGCCCGCAAACGAAACCGTGTAAAGTTAATTTTATGAAGTGTTGTATAAAACTGTGCTGCAATTTTTCAATAGTGCAATAACCAAAATGTGACAAATAAATCCGTGTAATATAAAGGTCTACTGTATATTGTCTCACCTTGAACGTTGCCACACAGTCACCATTGTGGAGATTCATCATGTTAACATACATCCTGGAGCGAGAAAGAGCCACTACATGGTCCTTGTCATGGAGGCCAAAGTATGGCATCTTCTGGTTCATAACTTCACGTAACTTCATCACAAACACTCCTTCGTCAAAATTATAGATGCGTAGCTCACGGCCACACAGCACCAAACACCGGTAGTCATCAATCATCTGAGATATAACAACACTCCATCAGTATTAACAAACACAAGATTCATTAGTAAAACAAATTACATCTGCAAGAATATTTGCCCCGAGTTTTGAAAAGCAAGCACCTCAATTATCAAGTCTTGAAGGCTAGAAATACAATGCACTTAAAGAGTATTTTTTTTTCAAAACATATATGTATAGAGTCAGCTTTATAATAAAGCTCCTTTATATAGTGTGACTGTGAATGCAATTGAAAAAGTTCATACAAAATTGAACATGTGAACTTTGAAGACCTTTCTACCTTTCCATTACCGACAAATACTTTTTCACTCACTCTGACAGAAAATCGCCCTATGAAAATCGTTTTGTAAGAGATTTTACTGTATAAATTCTATTAACTGGAATTGCCCAACAATCAAAATAAAAAACAGGCTCCTTCCCATGGTCAATTTATCTATTTTTTAATTATTAAAATTTGAGACATCACGTTGTATGGCTACCCTGATCTATATGACATTGTAGCAGGTTAGACTAGGAAGAACCATTATTTTCCCCTAATTCACTCACTCATCTAAACAAGTGTATTGATTTTTAGCAAAGAAATCTTGAACCAAGGAACTGGAGTTACCCCTCTTCTTCCCTGGATCAAATCTGACTGGATACAAAAGAGCACTACCAGCAGTAACAAAGAAAAGAGGCAGGCGCAAAACAACTTTTAATGTTACAATGTTTCATTCTGCCCAGAGCTTTATCAAATCACTTTATTGTGGACTTGACAAACCTCTGAATAAAGTGAAACATTGTCTCGCTAAATCCTTGAACTGTGCCTTTCTTCAATGCTCATTTTCACTTTTCATTTGTTGTATAATCTATGCAATGTTAGTGCTTCCAATGATTTTCCAGGATGGTTGTGACTACTGTTTGTAAGTCATAAGTCAGACCACCGACCACATGTTGTTGAAATGTACGTCGCTGACAGATCCCAGAAAGAATCCTACCATATCCCATGACCCCAGCCCCCTGTACCTCAACTCACGCAGGAGGTTGTGTCAGAAGTCAGACCCAGGTATGACTCAAGAAACTGTAATGACACGAATGCAAACAAACCATACCATGGGTGGGGTTAGAACCTGCGATCAGGGTCTCAAAACTCCAGACCAAGGCATTAGCCACTGGGCCAGCTAGCTTCAGGTATGTTGGAACCAGAGCATACCTGTGAATTCCATGCCATATTGGTCTTCAAATGCATGATACAACTGACGAACTAGCAAGAGCATAAGCCTTTGAGGAGGGAGTATATAAGCCATGGTCTGTCAACTAATAATATGAGGACGATGGTAGGAAAAAAACTTCAACTGAACTTCATTGACTGAGATCGAGGGAGATTAACACCAGTTAGTCCATCTATCATTCTATCATGCAGTAATAGCTATATATATACATCCAATAACATCACCAGATGCCTGGAGGTACTGCTGAAAGTTTGTACCACAGGCTGACATCAAAATTTGATCAAAGGCTCCACTTAGTCATTATATATCCAAGACACACATTTGTATCAGTTTTCCTATTTCTCCTGACAAAACAAATAGCCTAAACGTTGCTTTTAGTCACCTCTCGAAAGTGTGAGTTATTTGTGAACTGTTCCAGCGATGGTATATACTACCTTGAATTAAAAACCCACAAGGAGACAAACACACAGGAGACCACACAAACACAGTGTTTTTGTCTCCATGTGGGTTTCCTTCATACATCAACATATGTCTGCTACATGGTGATGGTCCATGTTATTACCTTCAATTTTCTTGGTTGGGTGATGCCAGTGAGGGTGCGGACTGGTGACATGGTGAAGATGTTCCACACAGCTATCTCCCCACGCTCTGTAGAGAGGGTGATCACATAGTGTGGGTTGTGGCGAGCCCTGATCACAGCGTTGAAATATATCTGTCCATCTCCCAGCTTCATGTTTTCATCCTAGGGTGTGAAATATACCGTTAGTACTGTTAAAGGCATTGAATAACTTATTCTATGCATCCTTCAACCAGTTTGACATAATCCTGGTTGTTCTTGATCCAAGGAACTGGAGCACTCTCCTCTACCTTGGAATGAACCTGATTACCTGCAATTTCCCTGGTACTGTATGACTAAAGGTTTAGTTTCAACGTGAATGTAATAATTATCTTATACAACACCAAATGCTCTTATCTTATCACTTGTAAGTAAAATAAATTCCACTGTTGACAGTTTTACTGATACATTTGTATTAAGATATGCAAGAAACTGTACTTCTTAGTGGCTGTCATTAATAAAATTGATGCAATACCTGTATTGCATCAACAGGTTGCACAACAAATATTCATTGGAATAACATTTCTCTCTGTGTAAAGTTTTATCAGTGACTTTATAATAACCAAATAAAGCTCTACACAGAGCTAAATGTTTTCCTAATAGGTGTGTCTTTTCTTGACCAATGTCTGCAGTAAGTCACTTTGGATGCAGTTGTTATTGTAAAGCATCAAGATCATGGAAGCCCACATCTCTTATCTCACCTGGAAGGGCTGGCGGAGGCAGACAGTGAGGGGCAGGAGGCTAGGCACAGGGGCACTTGATGCTATGTCGTAAAGTTTCTTAATAACAGGATAAGTCTCGTGGTTGTGAGGGTCACTCATGAGGGTAGACAAGCGACCACATACCTGCCACATAACACATGGAATCACAATGTCTGTTAGGATGATGCTATGAAACTATTTACGTATAAGAAGCAACCAATTACTTAAAAACAAAATACAGTGGACCCCCGCATAATGATCACCTCCGAATGCGACCAATTATGTAAGTGTATTTATGTAAGTGCATTTGTACGTGTATGTTTTGGGGTCTGAAATGACTAATCTATTCACTATGTACCATTGGGAACAATTACGGCCCTAATACTTGGACTGAACATACTTTGGACGGAAGAAACTGTTGGCCTGTGGTTAAAACGCCTCTATTTTCACACAGGCGAGTAATGAGTTCGTCATTTCCAGCCAGAGTAGAAACATTGGATGTTTCTTTCCACCTGTTGTTATGTTCCCCATCAGTAAATGGGATTCCTGGTGTTAGTCGAACTGGTGTGGTCGCATCCTGGACAGACCTATTTCCGAAATGCTTCCGAGCATAACAAGGGCTTTCTTATAGTAATTGGCATTGGAGAAACTGACTGTACTACACCTGGAACATGTCTTTGTTAAAATAACAATATTATTTACGGGGGTCCACTGTATCCTAATCATTAAAACAAACAGCCATACATATTTTTGTAAAATATTTTAAAAACCAATCAGACAAATTGCATCTGAAGTCAGTAAGGTTTGTTCTGGAATGCTTCTTTCTGCATTAATTGTACAGTGAAATGGCTTAATCAGCTACCTGAGAATACAACTGTCGTGTACGTGTAGCCTAATCAAGCTGCCAGTTCCAGCAACTTTTCAAAAGCTAGTTCAGTTTGCTTTTGTGGTTGGCCAGTGAGAGAGAAATGTCTTCCAGCACCTTGAGGACAGAAAGCTCATCATTTTATCACAATCACTGGTACTTACTGTACAGCTAAGGGTAGATCTGGTATGGTGGTACGGGCAAATTGAAGGTGAAAGATTCATACGCACCAATCAAGACATTCATCTAGGAAATGTTTCACCATGAGTGGCTTCTTCACTTCTAGAGAAGTTACAAGTGGCAAAATGTGCCCTTAATAAATGTCATGATCAATGCACATGCTTCTTTTAATGTGTATATGCCTAAAATTCAAGAAAATGTATCAGATTTCATTCAGTAATTAGAATGCACAAATACCACAGCAACGTACAATAAGTGCCACATTTGTACCTGATATGTATCTGATCCACAGAGCTTCTCATACACCCAACCACAGTTGAGAACAAACTCTTCGAGTATTGTGCCATGTAGCTGCAAGACCTGGTATGGCAGCTCGTCTAACTTCCGGCGGTTGTGTCTATACACACCCTGCATAGAAATCTTGGACATGGTGCTGTAAGTAGAGAGACAATCATCTTGTTACAAGCTCATCACTAGATATGATTATCTGAGGTCATACTGAGACTATCTTTGTTTTCCTATGCACTACCGTGACCACCTCTAAGTTACTCTAGCAGAAAGGTTCTCGCTGCAACACCGTCGTGGCCACCTCTGCTCACCACCCTAAGGAGATTTCCTGTCGTATTATCTTGGTCACCTACAGTAAAAACTGTAGGGTTCTCTCACACTGTCATGATCACCTACAGTTATTACTGCAGGAATATTCTCACACCATCATGCTCACCTACAGTTACTACAGCAGAAGAATTTCTCTCGATCTATAAGGAACGATTAGTTACTGCTGGAAGGAGGATTTCCTGACACTATCATAGTCAACTACCTCTGCTTACTATCACCACAGCAGTGATAGTATGCAAATGACACCTTGCCTATGTGTTACTCCATAGCTCAAAGTGTTAGCACCTTCGGCTCACATCTGAAGGACCTGGGTTCAATCTCAGCACAAGTGGAAAAGTTTGGCATGCTTCCTTATACAGTGGAACCCCAAGTTTCAAACTTAAGCCATTCCAGGAGCTAGCTCTAACGTCGAAACGTTCAAAAGTCGAAGCAATATTTCCCATAAGAAATAATGTAAATACAATTAATCTGTTCCAGAAACCCAAAAATATTCACAAAAAAATACAGTTTATAGAGATTACAGTATAGTTTTGCATACACACAAAAAAACATACATAGTACAATTAGTAATTGCTAAATAAAAATTTAAATAAACATATAACATATTTGACTTACCTTTATTGAAGATTGTTGATGGCATCTGGAAGATAGGGAGGAGTTAGAGAGCACTTATTGTTTGAAAGGGGAATCCCCTTCCATAAAAACTTCAGGTAAGAAGTCCTTATCTGGGGTTACTTCCTTTCTTTGTCTTTTAATTCCACTAGGACCAGCTTGAGAGTCACTGGACCCCTGTCTCACAAAATAACTGTCCATAGTCCTCTTGTTTCTGGCACCTCTTTAAGATTTCCCTAAAATGGGACATGGTTCTGTCACTGAACTTGTTGCAGAGATGGCTTGTTTCAGCTTGCTCAGGGTGGACTTCTCCACAAAAGTTTGCACATCATTCCACTTGGTACAAATCTGCTTATTCTGTGAAGGCAACTGCCTTGCCTTTTCACAAATGATTGTGAACATTGAAATGGTATAAAATACCCACAGGTTTTTAGGTAAGACACATATGCAACAGTTAGGTATCTTTATTTCAAACGTTTCGCCTACACAGTAGGCTTCTTCAGTCGACTACAGAAAAGTTGACAGAAGCAGAAGATACTTGAAGACGATGTAATCAGTCCGTCACCCTTGAAGTTTTGAGGTGGTCAGTCCCTCAGTCTGGAGAAGAGCATTGTTCAGTAGTCTGAAACAATATGGAGTTGAAGTGACAGGATGGAGCCTATATACCGCCAGGAGGCGAGATGTAGGCCACTAGTAGAGGTAAGAATGTTGTCGTTGGAAGGTCAGGTCCCTCTCAAATCCAGCCATTCTCACTAGTAGAAGTTGACAAAGTTGATTTCAGGTCTGTACCAAGATACCCTTGTGTTGCAGTGTCTGACAGAGTGAACATTGAAATGGTATAAAATACCGACAGGTTGTTAGGTAAGACACATATGCAACAGTTAGGTATCTTTATTTCGAAACGTTTCGCCTACACAGTAGACTTCTTCAGTCGAGTACAGAAAAGTTGATAAAAGCAGAAGATACTTGAAGACAATGTAATCAGTCCATCACCCTTGAAGTTTTGAGGTGGTCAGTCCCTCAGTCTGGAGTTTACCTGGAGAGAGTTCCAGGGGTCAACGCCCCCGTGGCCCGGTCTGTGACCAGGCCTCCTGGTGGATCAGAGCCTGATCAACCAGGCTGTTACTGCTGGCTGCACTCAAACCAACGTACGAGCCACAGCCCGGCTGGTCAGGAACCGACTTTAGGTGCTTGTCCAGTGCCAGCTTGAAGACTGCCTGGGGTCTGTTGGTAATCCCCCTTATGTATGCTGGGAGGCAGTTGAACAGTCTCAAGCCCCTGATACTTATTGTATGGTCTCTTAACGTGCTAGTGACACCCCTGCTTTTCATTGGGGGGATGTTGCATCGTCTGCCAAATCTTTTGCTTTCGTAGTGAGTGATTTTCGTGTGCAAGTTCGGTACTAGTCCCTCTAGGATTTTCCAGGTGTATATAATCATGTATCTCTCCCGCCTGCGTTCCAGGGAATACAGGTTTAGGAACCTCAAGCACTCCCAGTAATTGAGGTGTTTTATCTCCGTTATGCGCGCCGTGAAGGTTCTCTGTACATTTTCTAGGTCAGCAATTTCCCCTGCCTTGAAAGGTGCTGTTAGTGTGCAGCAATATTCCAGCCTAGATAGAACAAGTGACCTGAAGAGTGTCATCATGGGCTTGGCCTCCCTAGTTTTGAAGGTTCTCATTATCCATCCTGTCATTTTTCTAGCAGATGCGATTGATACAATGTTATGGTCCTTGAAGGTGAGATCCTCCGACATGATCACTCCCAGGTCTTTGACGTTGGTGTTTCGCTCTATTTTGTGGCCAGAATTTGTTTTGTACTCTGATGAAGATTTAATTTCCTCGTGTTTACCATATCTGAGTAATTGGTATTGTTCCATAGTCTGAAACAATATGGAGTTGAAGTGACAGGATGGAGCCTATATACCGCCAGGAAGTGAGATGTAGGCCACTAGTAGAGGTAAGAATGTTGTCGTTGGAAGGTCAGGTCCCTCTCAAATCCAGCCATTCTCACTAGTAGAAGTTGACAAAGTCGATTTCAGGTCTGTACCAAGATACCCTTGTGTTGCAGTGTCTGACAGAGTGAACATTGAAATGGTATAAAATACCAAATTTGTTATAATTTAGGGTTAAGAATTAATCTAAGTTTGCCCGAAATGCCTAGCCATGCTAGGTGTTCTAGTGGCCCCCTCTGTAATTATTTTACTACATGTAAACCACACAATAACCAAAATCTGTAAACCCTGCATTGTAATCCTTATAGAGAATAAACTTTGATTTGATTTGATTTGATTATGAGAGCATGGTCCAGTGTGAGATCATGGTCCAGTACGAGAGCATGATATAGTGTGAGACCATAGTCCATTATGAGAGCATGGTCCAGTACAAGAACATGGTCCAGTGAGACCATGGTCCAGTATGAGAGCATGGTCCAGTGAGACCATAGTCCAGTACGAGAGCATGGTCCATTACGAGAGCATGGTCCAGTACAAGAGCATTGTGGAAATTATTTAATTTCCGAAGCTATAGTGCCTAATAAGTGTTTAATGTGTTGATTTGGGTCAAAATGTATTTGTATTTTGAATGGAACCAACTGGGTTCCCGCTGCTAATGCGCAGACGTGGGGGGGTATAGGTCGAACTGGGGCACGAGAGGCGGGAGTGTTTTGAATGTAGTGAGGAGGCTGGGAAAGCATGGAACCAGGAAATTGGCATTCATGGCGGCCTAAGGATTAATATAGGCCTCATTTCATAATAGGAAGTGTCATAACTGTTCCTGGTGGAGAGTGAGGGAACGTGATTTACGGGACCACCATAATAAAGTGGTAAAATGAGTGAATAAGGGTAGGACCGGGTGACTGGCGCGTCACCATGGACTGTGTCCCGGGGAAAATTACCCTTGGTTTAATCATCACTCATCGGTCTCAGATCTTAATGGAGTGATCTCTAATGTGTATAATAATTATGAGACATTAAATCGTCTTGTGAATTGTAATGTAATTAATGATAATAACACTAAGTTAAGAGAATGCGTGAAGTGAAATAAGTCGCCTTGCTCCGAGTGAACACGTTAGACCTCGTTGTTCTCGTGACGAGGAAAGTGAAGTTCATTGAGTCACGACTTCTAAACCGGGACAAACCAGCGGATACCTCGTCCTGCTGGAATGAGAACCGTGTCGGTGTAGCAGGACATCGAAATGAGATGGTGAATGGAGGAAATAAGGAGTATCAATCACCCACAGTTAAGTAACCCTTCTAGTTATAGCAGACTGATACTGGCCAGTTAGGTATGTTGTAATTGGATAGGTTATGGGTGATCCAGCTACATCAAGTGACCACCAGAGAATATCTGGTAAGTGGTGGGATTATGTACAAGTGTTTTTCCTTGATGGATATATCCATGTGTAACCTACCCCCCCCCCTTCACTCAGTTACACTAATATAATCTATACAGTCCACAATTAATTAGTAGCAACGTACTTGTAGGTGCTACCCAATCCATACTGGTCTCGGATAGATATGGATAAGATTGTGAGGTCGAAGGAACCACCTGCCGTGACCAGGGGTGGTTAAGTTTTGGGGTGGCCCGGTGGCCTGGTGGCTAAAGCTCCCGCTTCACACACGGAGGGCCCGGGTTCGATTCCCGGCGGGTGGAAACATTTCGACACGTTTCCTTACACCTGTTGTCCTGTTCACCTAGCAGCAAATAGGTACCTGGGTGTTAGTCGACTAGTGTGGGTCGCATCCTGGGGGACAAGATTAAGGACCCCAATGGAAATAAGTTAGACAGTCCTCGATGACGCACTGACTTTCTTGGGTTATCCTGGGTGGCTAACCCTCCGGGGTTAAAAATCCGAACGAAATCTTATCTTATCTTATCTTATCACATGTCTACACGGGGTGACTACGGTAAACAATATGGTTGTCTCCCAATGAGATTACTTGAATGTATATAATGTTGAGGTACATACAGGTAATCACCCCTAGAAAATTTTCCACAAGCATGGTCCAGTACAAGAGCATGGTCCAGTACAAGAGCATAGTCCTGTACAAGAGCATGGTCCAGTAAGGGAGCATGGTTCAGTACAAATGATCCAGTACGATAGCATGGTCCAGTACAAGAGCATAATCCTGTATGAGAGCATGGTCCAGTACGAGAGCATGGTCCAGTACAAGAGCATAGTCCTGTATGAGAGCATGGTCCAGTATGAGACCTCAGACACTCACCTGCATCGGTATTTGATGGGTTGATGAAGGATGTAGCGGTCCGTGGCTTCAACAGTCTCACTTTCACCCACTGGCTTCTTCACTCCATCACTCCACTTGCTCTGTACACACACACACACACAAGTAAATGTTAAGCATCCACTTCACACCCAGTGTTATGAATCAACATAACTAGACGTTCTCTCCAGGCTGGAATATTGTTATGTAAAGAGAATCTTCTCAGCTCATATAAACTCCATCAAGCTCCTAAATTACTAGAAACACTCTTAAGTCCCTCAAACTTTATTCATTTTGAATAAATGTTATATATACACTACATAAAAAACTCCATAAGGAAATGGAGAAGAATCCTTCCTCCGTAAGCCACACGTGTTGTAAGAGGCGACTAAAATGCCAGAGGCATTTTAGTTGGATTTTAGCTTGTTTCCCTCAAAACAAATACTGACTACACAAGGGTCATTAAAGATGCAAGTAACCAGTGAAGAATACTTTAATCCCTAAAACTGGGATTGAAGTAAACTCTCCGTATATACGCAATGAGAGACAACACTTCTCGGTTTATATATCCTATGAAAGGAATGTGGGATGAGATGCGTATCATACAGCACAAAGATAAGAGGCAGCCTATAAAATGAATCTAATGTACTTGTTAATAAGGATATTTCAGCATTTCCAGAGGTGAATATGTAAAAACATAAGGTCAACTTTACAGACAAGATATCACGTTCCTAATGACTTCGCGTTAAAGTTAAACTTAAACTGAGGAAATATATTACATCACGTGTATGCTTCAGCTAAAGGAGATAATTCAGCCAAAGTCTAACCTGGAAGTAATCTATGAGTGCAGTGTGGCACAGAGTGCGCTGGTCAGGTGTGGCCAGGTAGCGGTCGCGGGCAGCCTCCCTGAAGCTCTGGTAGCGCCAAGTGAGCAAGCAGAGGCCCGACACGGTGGTATGCATCAGGAACGGCTGCAGCCGCTGAGTGAGCTGCACCCACAGCAGTGACGGACACCGACGCACTGCCAACACAATAAAGTATCAGTGCCACAGCAAGAAACAAGTTCAATACAAGACCTTCCCTATTTACAAATTTTTTTTTATAAATTATAAATGAGTTGTCTGATTAGAAAACAGAAGCACAAATTTGTCTGTATAGCAAATAATAATACAATTTTGTCTGTACAAGGAATGATTATGTTTCATACGTGTTTCCACAGCTTCTCTGTGGTTGTCAAACTTTAATTCTTAAGAACCACGTTTGTATGATGGGGATCACCTGAAGGAGCAAATACAGCAGGTTGGTGAGCGGCTACACTCTAATATGTGTTTCTGGGATGTGTATTTATAAAGATTAAAAGCCACCATTCTGTAGCCGGAGACATTTAAAACTGACCCACGAATTGTAGAAGAAACTACACGCCTTGTATTAATGTTGGTAGAATTATCGACAATATGTTAAGTAAAAGGACACAAGTGCAACTAATGCGATATTTTATTGTGGCAACGTTTCGCTCTCCAGGCGCTTTGTCAAGCCGTATACGACTTGATAAAGCTCCTGAAGAGCGAAACGTTGCTACAATAAAACGTCACATTAGTTGCACTTGTGTCCTTTTACTTAACAAACTAGACGCCGTTTGAGCCCATCGTGTACCATTATCAAGCAGCGTGAGAATAAAAGAGGAGAAAGACAGACGTTATGTCAGACGAGATGTTAGACTGTCACCTAACCTTTCCATTTGATCTGACTTTAGCTGTCTCTTCACCTCTTTGCTCGACCTTCCAGGATGTACCAAAACATCGTCTAGTGTCATCTTTATTTTGTGGGATAATGTTTGGAGAAGGATGGGATGATATTGTGTGTAGAATCATGACTAAACACAGGCAGTACTAGGCAATGTTCGGAGAATTACCACACATTTCTTTTAATGGGCTCAAAATGTTTACAGAGAGAGTGTGACTCACCAGGAGGGGAGCAGTGGAGTAAGACCTTCTCGAGTACATCCTCGTCGCAGGAGAGTATGTCAAGCATCTCTGAGTCTGAGAGACCGTGTTTGGCTGCCGTCAGGTATCCCAACATGTGTGACACCTCAACCTGGGGAAATACAAGTCTTTCTCTCGTCCTCTCATCTGTCTTGCTGTTTCTAGCGTTATTTTACCCTTCCATGTCATCGTCATCATCTCCCCTATCATCGTCATAGTCTCCCTATCGTCGTCATCTCCCATATAATCATCTCCAATATCATCATCACCCTTCCATATCATCATCTCCCTTCCTTCTCTTATTTTCCTTAGGGACTGTACTTCATTCACCATTATTATAATATCCTGTTTCCCACTCCACCTGTATTATAACCTGCTGTCTGATGCCTACTCCACCTGTATCATCAGACCACTCTACCCGTATCACTACCTGCTGCCCACTCCACCCATGTCATAACCTGCTGACAACTCCACATGTTTCACTACCTGGGGTTGCACAAAGAGGAAGAGCGAAGGTTACCTGTCCATAGGAACGTTCCAGGTCGTCGAAGACTACGTTGATCTGCTGCAGGAGTGAAGATTTGAGGAGCGGCCGGGTGTCCCCTCCCGTCCAGCCACACGCCGCCCAACCCGTCACCTGGCGAGTGCTGACATCAGTACGCTGGTATGCATTTACCCTATTTGCAAAGTACCCACTACGCAAAGTACATTTATTCGACTCAATATATAAAGAAAATTTAACATCCGGACTTTAACTGGTTGGTAGGATAATGGGGTTTAAATCCTATCGACTACACGAGACGTGTCACCACCATACAAGAATACTTTAAAGCCGTATTATTATTATTATAATCAAGGGGGAAGCGCTAAACCCGGAGGATTATACAGCGCCTGGGGGGGGATATGTGGAAGGCATTCAGGCTTAATTCGGGGAACTGGAGCACAGATCCAATTCCCTAAATCAAGAGCCCCTCACCAACATCAAGGAACCTTCCTTGAGGGGTTTAAAGCCGTAAATATTTAAAATAGAGATTAAGATATACCCCAGAGTGTGTATACACAGAGACATACGTATACTTCTCACTGTATACATCCTGTGTTGCCCTGAACTTCTCTGTTAAATTAACATGCTATCCATCTTCGTTTTGAGATATTAACATAAGAAAAGATCAGTTAAGCTGCATAAGAGAACAATTTTGTTTAAAAATTAAATCTGTATATGTCATGCATCAAACTAAGACTTTTCTTGAAAACCTGAAGAACGTCAGTATAAATATCTGTACACTCTCAGAAAGGCTGTATTAGTGTCAAACACTGAGCGGTGATACAGTTAGACCACTTTGACAGGGAGAGAGAGAGACTGTGTGTGTGTGTGTGTGTGTGTGTGTGTGTGTGTGTGTGGTGTGTGTGTGTGTGTGTGTGTGTGTGCGCTCATCTAATTGTGGTTGCAGGGGTCGAGACTCAGCTCCTGGCCCCGCCTCTTCAGTGAGTGCTACTAGGTCTTCTCTCTCCCTGCTCCATGAGCAGGGAGAGGCAAGTGAGGTAGTGGAGGCAGGAGCCTCCACTACCTCACTTGCTAGGCTATTCCACTTCCTGACTACTCTATGACTGAAGAAGCACTTCCTAACATCCCTTTGACTCATCTGAGCGAGTCCAAGCTCCTGGCCCCGCCTCTTCACTGGTCGCTACTAGGTCACTCTCCCTGAACCATGAGCTTTATCGTACCTCTGCTTAAAGCTATGTATGGATCCTGCCTCCACTACATCGCTTCCCAAACTATTCCACTTCCTGACTACTCTGTGGCTGAAGAAATACTTCCTAACATCCCTTTGATTCATCTGTGTCTTCAGCTTCCAACTGTGTCCCCGTGTTGCTGTGTCCAGTCTCTGGAACATCCTGTCTTTGTCCACCTTGTCAATTCCTCTCAGTATTTTGTATGCCGTTATCATGTCCCCCCTATCTCTCCTGTCCTCCAGTGTCGTCAGGTTGATTTCCCTTAACCTCTCCTCATAGGACATACCTCTAACTCTGGGACTAGTCTTGTTGCAAACCTTTGCACTTTCTCTAGTTTCTTTACATGCTTGGCTGGGTTGTGGGTTCCAAACTGGTGCCGCATACTCCAATAGGGGCCTAACGTACTTTGTTGTACAGGGTCCTGAAGGGATTCCTTATTAAGATGTCGGAATGCTGTTTCTGAGGTTTCCCACGCCCATGGCTGCGGAAAGTTTATTTGGGTTATTGCGCTTCAGGAGATTGCTGGTTTATACTCACCCCAAGATCTTTTTCCCTTTGAGTGATTTTTGTAGTCTCTGGCCCCCCTAGACTGTACTCCTCTGCAGTCTTCCTTGCCATTCCCCAATCCTCATGACTTTGCACTTGGTGGATTGAACTCCAGGAGCCAGTTGGGGACCAGTTGCGCCTGTCCAGATCCCTTTGTATTTTGCCCTGGTCTTCGATCGAATGAAACTCTTCTCATCAACTTCACGTCATCGCAAACGGGACACCTCGGAGTTTTTTCCCTTCCGTCATGTTCAAAAATCCAGAAACAGCACTGGTCCTGGGACTGACCCCTGTGGGACCCCGCTGGTCACAGGTGCCCACTCTGACACCTCGCCACGTACCATTACTCGCTGCTGTCTTCCTGGCAAGTATTCCCTGATCCATTGCAGTGCCTTCCCTGTTATCCCTGCTTGGTCCTCCAGTTTTTGCACTAATCTCTTGTGTGGTACTGTGTCAAACGCCTTCTTGCAGTCCAAGAAAATGCAATCCACCCACCCCTCTCTCTCTTGTCTTACTGCTGTCACACCATGTCAAGAACTCCAGTAGGTTTGTGACACAGGATTTCCCGTCTCTGAAACCATGTTGGCTGCTGGTGATGAGATCATTCCTTTCTAGATGTTCCACCATTCTTCTCCTGACAATCTTTTCCATGACCTTGTATACTATACATGTCAGTGACACTGGTCTGTAGTTTAGTGCTTCATGTCTGTCTCCTTTTTTAAAGTTTGGGGAAACCACATTTGCTGTCTTCCATCCCTCAGGCAATCTCCCTGTTTCGATAGATGTATTGAATATTGTTGTTAGGGGTACACATAGCGCCTCTGCTCCCTCTCTCAGGACCCATGGAGAGATGTTATCTGGCCCCATTGCCTTTGAGGTAACTAGCTCACTCAAAAGCCTCTTCACTTCTTCCTCGGTTGTGTGTACTGTGTCCAGCACATTTGGTGTACCCCACCTCTCGTCTTTCTGGAGCCCCTTCTGTCTCCTCTGTGAACACTTCTTTGAATCTCTTGTTGATTTTCCTCACATACTTCACGGCCCATTTCTTGTTGTCTCTCCTCCTTCCTTCCTTAGCCTGATTCCCTGGTCCTTGACGGTTGTTTTTTTCCCTGATGGGGCTATATAACAGCTTCGGGTCAGATTTGGCTTTTGCTGCTATGTCTTTTTCCCATTTTGGGACGTTGGGCCTCCCTTCTTATCTGTGCATATTCGTTTCTGGCTCTACGACTCCCTTCTCCTTTTTTCCCGGGTCCTTTGCCTTCTACATTTCTTCCATTCTCTAGCACACTTGGTTTTTGCCTCCTTGCGTCTTTGGGTGAACCATGGGCTCATCCTGGCTTTTTCATTATTCCTGTTACCCTTGGGTACAAACCTCTCCTCAGCCTCATTGCACATTGTTGCTACATATTCCATCATCTCATTAACTGGCTTCCCTGCCAGTTCTCTGTCCCACTGAACCTCATTCAGGAAGTTCCTCATTCCTGTGTAGTCCCCTTTCCTGTAGTTTGGTTTCATTTGTCCTGGCCTTCCCGCTTCCCCCTCCACTTGTAGCTCTACTGTGTATTCGAAGCTCAAAACCACATGATCGCTGGCCCCAAGGGGTCTTTCATATGTGATGTCCTCAATATCTGCACTACTCAAGGTGAATACTAAGTCCAGTCTTGCTGGTTCATCCTCTCCTCTCTCTCTTGTAGTGTCCCTTACGTGTTGGTACATGAAGTTTTCCAGTACCACCTCCATCATCTTAGCCCTCCATGTATCTTGGCCCCCATGTGGCTCCAAGTTAAAGTCGCCCATGATCTGGAGCTTTGCCCTGCATGCATGAGCTCTTCTCGCCACTGCAGCCAGTGTGTCAACCATCGCTCTATTGCTCTCGTCATACTCTTGCCTTGGCCTCCTGCTGTTCTGCGGTGGGTTATACATCACTGCAATTATCACCTTGGGACCACCAGAGTGAAGCGTTTCCGCTATGTAATCACTTTCTTCTCCGCTGTCTCCGCTCTCCAGTCATCAAAATTCCATCGGTGTTTGATCAGCAATGCCACTCTTCCACCCCCCCCTGTTTCCTTCTGTCTTTTCTCAGGATTGGTATCCCGCTGGAAAGATGACATCTGTTTCTTACCTGTAAGCTTGGTTTCCCGTGATCGCTATGATGTCTGGTGATGCCTCTTTGACTCTTTCGTGCCACTCCTCCCACTTCTTTGTTATTTCCATCAGCGTTTGTGTACCATACCTTCAGTTTCCTTTCCCACACTGTGGTTTGGGGAGGCCCGTGGGGGTGGGGGGACCTGGTAGCATACTGTGGGATTCTATGGTTGGGGGTTGGGTGGAAGCTGTGGGTATGGATTGTATGTGTGTTGGATTGGGTGTGTAGGTTGTGGGGTTCTGAGGATAGTTGTGTGTGTGCTTGCCCTGCTGCTCTGTTCTGCTCTGAAAATGACCTCTGCTGGTTCCATCCTTGTCTCCTTTCCTAGCTCCCTTTCGCTTTTTTTTTCCTCTCCCTCAGCTGGTGTCTCTCTGTTTGTGTTCTGTCTCTGTCTAGGAACACCTTCTTGTACTCTTTTTGAGCTTTTCAACCCTGGTTTCTCTTGGAGGATCCTGTTCCTCACTGTTTCTGTCCTGAGAATCAGCTTGATCGGTCAGTTTCTCCCCTTCAAGTACCCCCCTATTCTCTGAAAATTTACAATCTCATCCATGTCTTCTCCCCCTATTTCCATGATGATTTTTTCAATCTCCTTTCTTTCTTCCTGCCGTCTTTCAGTGTGTGTCCTTTCCTCTCTCTCCCCAAGCCCATGGATAATCACTGATTTTGCCCTTTCCTTCTCCCATTGCCTCTCCCTCTGTGACTCTGGTTCCTGTCTGTATGTGGTCATTTTCTCCCTTGATTTTTCCAGTGGCTCTTGGTAGCATGGTTGTGGCCTCAGCATTCGACCTATCTCCTCTCCATCTGCACCCATCTCTCTTCCCTTCCACTCCCTGGCCCTTCTTTGCAGGCTGATATGACCTTTGCATAATTCATATCTCCTTCCTTCCTGTTCAGCCTCTCATCTTTGTATGGTGTGTCTTCTCTGGTCACTGCCCCTGAGACTTGCTTCAGCCTGTTTACCTCAAATTCTAGGACCTTTACCCTGGCTACTGCAGTTTCGACTTGTGCCTCCCAATTCTTCGTCTCCTTCTCCAACCTCTTTTCCCATTTCACAGAGAGCTCTTTCTCCATTTTTTTCAGAAAGCTCTCCTAATTTTCTCTCTCATTCTTGCTCTATCATTTTCCACTGTTCCTCCATCCATTCCTCCCTACCAGTACCATTGTCATCTGATCCCTGATTCCTGCGAGTCCCAACCATTTTTTATTTTTTTTAGTGAAAGAGAGAGAAAGAGAAAAAGAAAAAGGGGGAGAGAGTGAGAGATAGGGAGAGAGAGAAGGGGAGCCTAGAAGGAGGGGAAAAGAAGGGAAAAAGGGGGAGAAAGTGAGAGAGAGGGAAAAGGTAAGTAGAGAGGGGGAGTGACAAGGGAAGAGAGAGAGAGATAAAAGAAGAGGAAGAGAGAGAGTAAGAGAGGAAGAGAGAGAGGGAGAGGGAGAGAGAGAGGAAGAGAAGAGAGAGAGAGAAGGAAGAGGAAAGAAGAGTAGAGGAAGAGAGAGAGGAGAGATAGAGAGAAGAGAGAGAGATGAGAGAAAGGGGGGGAGAGAAGAAGAGAGAGAGAGAGAGGAGAGAGAGGAGAGAGAGAGAGAGAGAGAGAGGAGAGGAGAGAGAGATGGGGGGGGGGGAAAGGAAGGGTTATAGGGTCACTTCACAGGAAGGTGTAAAATCCTGTATATGTGTTGTGTGTGTGTGTCTGTATGTGTGTGTGAGTGTGAGTGAGTGTGTGTGGTGTGTGTGTGTGTGTGTGTGTGTGTGTGTGTGTGTGTGTGTGTGTGTGTGTGTGTGTGTGTGTGGTGGGTGGGTGGGGTGTGTGTGTGTGTGTGCGCGTTTGGTGTGTGTGTGTGTGCTATGTGTGTGTGTGTGTGCGCATATGCGTGTGTGTGTTTACCTCCACGTAGAGTGGTAGGGGACACTCCTGGATGCTCCTGCTGATCAATTCTCGCTGTTCCTCGTTGAGGCTACGCTGATGCTGCTTCAGTATACTCTCCAGCCTGTTGTTGCCCTCCTCCAGTGTCCAGGGTGGGACCTGCCAGATGACACAGGTACTCAGTACTCCTCTCCTCTCCCACTCATAATTGTAAACCTGAGGTACTGTTATAATTGTAAACCTAAGGTACTCTCACAATGTAAACCTGAGGTACTCTCATAATTGTAAACCTCCAAGATAAATTTGTATTTATATAGTATAAGTGCGGCTCAGTTATTCAACAGAGTAGTGATCCAGGCAACATGGTTTATCACCATTTTTTCCTGTCTTACTTTCGAGTGAACTAAGAATGTTTTGTAGGTCCCTCACAATTTTCATAGGCGCTAAGCACTGTGCCTATTGTGCGTAATGCAGCCCTGGGTGGGCTGTGAGGCAGAGGGTTACCTGAGAGGAAGAATTGGGGAAACGGGGTGGTGGTGGAAACTGCAATGAACTGTACGAGAAATATTGTCATCCATCTTCAATGAAAAATATAACATTCAGTAACCATATACAAACCAACCACACACACAACACACACACACACCACACACACACACACACACACACACACACACACATGTGAATGATATGATGGAAGGGATAGACTCAGAAGTGTCCCTGTTCGCAGATGATGTGAAGTTAATGAGGAGAATTAAATCAGATGAGGATCGGGCAGGACTTTAAAGAGACCTGGACAGGCTGGACACCGTGGCCAGCAACTGGCTTCTTGAATTCTACCCCGCCAAATGCAAAGTCATGAAGATCGGAGAAGGGCAAAGAAAATCGCAGACAGAGTATAGGCTAGGTGGCCAAAGACTGCAAACCTCGCTCAAGGAGAAAGATCTTGGGGTGACCATAACATCGAGCATGTCTCCGGAGGCACACATCAACCAGATAACTGCTGCAGCATATGGACGCCTGTCAAACCTGAGAACAGTGTTCCGATACCTTAGTAAGCAATTCAAATTCAATTCAAATTCAAAGTTTATTCTCTATAAGGATTACAATGCTGAGTTTACAGAATTTGGTTATTGTGTGGTTTACATGTAGTAAAATAATAATTACAGAGTGTACCACTAGAACACCTAGCATGGCTAGGCACTGTACACTGTACACTGTGTACATCAGGCCCATACTGGAGTATGCAGCACCAGTTTGGAACCCACACTTGGTCAAGCACGTCAAGAAATTAGAGAAAGTGCAAAGGTTTGCAACAAGGCTAGTTCCGGAGCTCAGGGGTATGTCCTACGAAGAAAGGCTGAGGGAAATCGGACTGACGACATTGGAGGACAGGAGGGTCAGGGAAGACATAATAACGACATACAAAAATACTGCGTGGAATAGATAAGGTGGACAGACAGGTTGTTCCAGAGATGGGACACAGAAACAAGGGGTCACAAGTGGAAGTTGAAGACTCAGACGAGTCAGAGGAATGTTAGGAAGTATTTCTTCAGTCGTAGAGTCGTCAGAAAGTGGAATAGCCTAGCAAGTGATGTAGTGGAGGCAGGAACCATACATAGCTTTAAGACGAGGTATGACAAAGCTCAGGAAGCAGAGAGAGAGAGGACCTAGTAGCGATCAGCGAAGAGGCGGGGCCATGAGCTGAGTCTCGACCCCTGCAACCATAATTAGGTGAGTTAAATGGGTGAGACACAACACACACGCACCCCCTGAGGTAGGAAAAGGGACTGAAAATCAGTCCCCTCTTTACGAAAGGAAAAAAGAAACGAGGCACAAACTATAGCCAGTATTACGAGTGTTAGTATGCAAAGTATGGAGAAGAATTCAGGGGGAGGTGGGGGAGCACCGGGAAGGGAAAAGAGTAAAAACGACAGCCCCCGGGTTTATGGAAGGAAAATCCTGCGTAACAAACCAATGGGTTTTATGAAAGGTAACTGAAGAAAAGACATGGAGGGGGGGTGGGTTGATTGCTTTTTTTGGGATCAAGAAGGAATTCGACAGTTCCTCAAAAGGATTAGTGCACGCTAAAAAGAATCAGGCACTTAAAAAAGGAAAGACATGCAATGTATCAGCGAAAAAATGACAGGGGGGGCAACAGGGAGTCATGGTACATGATGAGGTATCACGTGGGCCCCTGTGCAAGCGGGGCCCCCGGGGGGTCAGTCCTGAGCCCAGTGGGCTGCAGAAAAAAAAATATAAGTTAAACTTTTGAGAAATTTCAATTATAAATATGGTAAACATGAGGAAATTAAATCTTCATCAGGTACAAAACAAATTCTGGCCAAAAAATAGAGCGAAACACCAAGTAAAAAGACCGGGGAGGATTATGTCGGGATTCACCCTTTAAGGACCCTAACTTTTATCAAAGCATTGCTAGAAAAATGACAGGATGGATAAGGGGAACCTTTTAAAACTAGGGAGGCCAAGCCCCTGATGACACTCTTTAGGGACTTTTTCATCTAGGGTGGATATTTCTGCACTCAACAGCACCTTTCAAGGCAGGTGAAATTGCCGACCTAGAAAAATGTACAGAGAACTTTCACGGCGCGCATAACGGAGATATAAACACCTCAATTACTGGGAGCGCTTGAGTTTTCTAAACCTGTATTCCTGGAACGCAGGAGGGAGAGATACATGATTATTATCACCTGGAAAATCCTAGAGGGACTAGTACCGAACTTGCACACGAAAATTCACTCACTACGAAAGCAAAAGACTTGGCAGACGATGCACCATCCCCCCAATGAAAAGCAGGGGTGTCACTAGCACGTTAAGAGACCATACAATAAGTGTCAGGGGCCCGAGACTGTTCAACTGCCTCCCAGCACACATAAGGGGGATTACCAACAGACCCCTGGCAGTCTTCAAGCTGGCACTGGACAAGCACCTAAAGTCAGTTCCTGATCAGCCGGGCTGTGGCTCGTACGTTGGTTTGCGTGCAGCCAGCAGCAACAGCCTGGTTGATCAGGCGCTGATCCACCAGGAGGCCTGGTCACAGACCGGGCCGCGGGGGCGTTGACCCCCGAAACTCTCTCCAGGTAAACTCCAGTACTATTCTTGGTATATGTGAATGACCTGACGGAAGGGATAGACTAAGAAGTGTCCCTGTTTGTAGATGATGTGAAGTTAATGAGGAGAATTAAATCAGATGCGGATCAGACAGGACTACAAAGAGACCTGGACAGGCTGGGCACCTGGTCCAGCAACTGGCTCCTAGAATTTAACCCCGCCAAATGCAAAGTCATGAAGATCGGGGAAGGGCAAAGAAGAGCGCAGACAGAGTATAGGCTAGGTAGCCAAAGACTGCAAACCTCTGTTAATGAGAAAGATCTAGGGGTGAGTATAAATCCGAGAACGTCTCCGGAAGCACACATTAACCAGATAACTGTTGCAGCATATGGGCGCCTGGCAAACCTGAGAATAGCGTTCCGATATCTCAGTAAGGAATCGTTCAAGACTGTATGGGCCTGACGTACAAAGTGTACGTCAGGCCCATACTGGAGTATGCAGCACCAGTTTGGAACCCACACCTGGTCAAGCACGTAAAGAAATTGGAGAAAGTGCAAAGGTTTGCAACAAGGCTGGTTTCAGAGCTAAGGGAAATGTCATACGAAGAAAGATTAAGGGAAATTGGCCTGACGACACTGGAGGCCAGGAAGGTCAGGGGAGGCATGATAATGACATACAAAATACTGCATGGAATAGATAAGATGGACAGAGACAGGATGTTCCAGAGATGGGACACAGAAACAAGGGTCACAACTGGAATCTGAAGACTCAGATGAGGCAAAGGGATGTTAGGAAGTATTTCTTCAGCCACAGAGTTGTTAGGAAGTGGAATAGTCTGGCAAGTGATGTAATGGAGGCAGGAACCATACGTAGTTTTTAGACGAGGTAGAAGGGAGAGGGAGGACCCAGTAGCGGTCAATGAAGAGGCGGGGCCAGGAGCTGAGTCTCGACCCCTTCAACCACAAACAGGTGAATACACACACACAGAACAATCGCTACCATGCAAAATAACAAATATGTAAAATCGTGATAGGTTAAAATATTATAATTCATGGGGGAAAATACCAGGAGGTCAGACATACCGAGAAACTCACCTAAAATGTGACCTAAGTGTGTGGTGCACCTGGTGTTATGAGGAGGCTACCTTGAAGGTGTTATGAGGAGGCTACCTTGAAGGTGTTATGAGGAGGCTACCTTGAAGGTGTTGTGAGGAGGCTACCTTGAAGGTGTTGTTGGGGAGGTACCTTGAAGGGTTGTGAGGAGGCTACCTTGAAGGTGTTGTGAGGAGGCTACCTTGAAGGTGTTGTGAGGAGGCTACCTTGAAGGTGTTGTGAGGAGGCTACCTTGAAGGTGTTGTGAGGAGGCTACCTTGAAGGTGTTGTGAGGAGGCTACCTTAAAAGGTGTTGGGGAGGAGGTACCTTGAAGGTTTTGTGAGGAGGCTACCTTGAAGGTGTTGTGAGGAGGCTACCTTGAAGGTGTTGTGAGGAGGCTACATTGAAGGTGTTATGAGGAGGCTACCTTGAAGGTGTTGTGAGGAGGCTACCTTGAAGGTGTTGTGAGGAGGCTACCTTGAAGGTGTTGTGAGGAGGCTACCTTTGAAGGTGTTATGAGGAGGCTACCTTGAAGGTGTTGTGAGGAGGCTACATTGAAGGGTTGTGAGGAGGCTACCTTAAAAGGTGTTATGAGGAGGCTACCTTGAAGGTGTTGTGAGGAGGCTACCTTGAAGGTGTTGTGAGGAGGCTACCTTGAAGGTGTTGTGAGGAGGCTACCTTGAAGGTGTTGTGAGGAGGCTACCTTGAAGGTGTTATGAGGAGGCTACCTTGAAGGTGGTGTTATAAGGAGGCTACCTTGAAGGTGTAATGAGGAGGCTACCTTGAAGGTGTTTGAGGAGGCTACCTTGAAGGTGTTATGAGGAGGCTACCTTGAAGGTGTTGTGAGGAGGTACTTAAAGGTGTTATGAGGAGGCTACCTTGAAAGTGTTATGAGGAGGCTACCTTGAAGGTGTTGTGAGGAGGCTACCTTGAAGGTGGTGTTATGAGGCTACCTTGAAGGTGTTGTGAGGAGGCTCCCTTTGAAGGGGGTGTTATGGGGAGGGGGGAGGCTCCCTTTAAAAAAGGGTGTTATGAGGAGGCTACCTTGAAGGTTTTTGGGGTTTGGGTTGGAGGAGGCTACCTTGAAGGTGGTGTTATGAGGCTACCTTGAAGGTGTTATGAGGAGGCTACCTTGAAGGTGGTGTTATAAGGAGGCTACCTTGAAGGTGTAATGAGGAGGCTACCTTGAAGGTGTTATGAGGAGGCTACCTTGAAGGTGTTATGAGGAGGCTACCTTGAAGGTGTTGTGAGGAGGCTACCTTGAAGGTGGTGATGGGTTTAATTAAAGGAGGTACCTTGAAGGTGTAATGAGGAGGCTACCTTGAAGGTGGTGTTATGAGGAGGCTACCTTGAAGGTGGTGGTGTTATGAGCAGGCTACCTTGAAGGTGGTGGTGTTATGAAGAGGCTACCTTGAAGGTGGTGGTGCTATGAGGAGGCTACCTTGAAGGTGGTGGTATGAGGAGGCTACCTTGAAGGTGGTGGTGTTATGAGGAGGCTACCTTGAAGGTGGTGGTGTTATGAGGAGGCTACCTTGAAGGTGGTGGTGCTATGAGGAGGCTACCTTGAAGGTGGTGGTGTTATGAGGAGGCTACCTTGAATTTGGTGTTATACTTCTTAGGATAAATCCAAGTAATCTGTTAGCCTTGTTGCGCACACTTAGGCACTGCTGTCTTGGCTTTAGATTTCTGCTTACCACGACTCCCAAGTCTTTTTCACATTCTGTATGATCAAGCTCTACTTCACCTAGATTATAGCTTCGAGGGTTATTTTCATTACCAAGGACAAGTACCTTACACTTATCCACATTGAACTTCATCTGCCATTTTTCAGACCAAGACATTAATTTGTCCAAATCCTCCTGGAGTTCATTGGCATCCTCCTCAGAATGAATTATACGGCCTATCTTTGTATCATCACCAAATTTACTCATGTCACTCGTAATCCCTTCATCAAGGTCATTAATGTATGAGGCTACCTTGAAGGTGGTGTTATGAGGAGGCTACCTAGGTGTTATGAGGAGGCTACCTTGAAGGTATTATGAGGAGGTTACCTTGAAGGTGTTATGAGGAGGCTACCTTGAAGGTGTTATGAGGAGGTTACCTTGAAGAAGGTGGTGTTATGAGATGGCTACCTTGAAGAAGGTAGTGTTATGAGGAGGCTACCTTGAAGAAGGTAGTGTTATGAGGAGGCTACTTGAAGAGGTAGTGTATGAGGAGGCTACCCTTTAAGGGAAAGGGGTGTTATGAGGAGGCTACCTTGAAGGAAGGTGTGTTATGAGGAGCTACCTTGAGGGAAGCAGGCTGGGGGTTCTTGAAAAGGTTGAAAGGAGGTACTTGGGGGTAGTCGTCCCCCCGAGGGTACGGAATGTGTTAGGTTCCGGGGTTGTTTGGGGCTCCTTAAAAAGGGTTGGCATAGGGCCCTTACCCGTGAAGGAAAGGTTATGTTAATGAGGAGCACTTAAGGGTTTGTGTTAGGGAAAGGCCCGAAATGTGAGTTGCCCCCCGGGTGGTACCCTTTTAAGTTTATACACCCTTAGGGAATTTTAGGGGGTACCTTGAAAAATGTAATAATTCTTTGAAAATATTTATAAAGGGTAAGAGCTGGTATTATAATCCTTAAAATAGTTCAATTTTCTTATAAGGGGTAGGCGACACCCAAAAGGGGTTATTAAACCCCAGGTATTCTAATACTGGGTTTGGGGATGAGGAGGTACCGGTGGGAATGAGACTACCTTAAAATTTTTAACTCCCTTAAAAGGATTAACCCGGGTTTCTGGTAAACCGAAGGGTACAAACACTTTAGAATTTGGGGTTTGAGGGGGTTTGAAGAAGTATCATAACACCTTAAAAAGGATGGAGACTCTTGAAAGGTATGCCCGAACCAGACTTGAATTTGTTATAGGGGGTTTCCTTAGGGTTTTGTTAGAGGAGCTACCTTAAGAGGGGGGGTTTTTAAACAAATTTAAATTTGTCTTTAATCTCCAAGAATTTTTAGGGGTAATTTAAGAATGGGGTTTTTCCCCATGGAGGTGGTGATGAGAATCTTGTGTATGTTCACCTGGAGCACCAGCTAAATTATGATGCCTGGACTCTGGAGCATCAGTGGAACCGATCATGATCACAGGATCATACACTAACAGTGTCTCTTATTTTCACTGTTATTATTACACAGGGTGTTTCACTCGTAGGAGGCACCGAGTAATCGTTTACTAAAAACATAGTATACAAACAAGACGGTTGAGACTACGGAAGTACCATCTCGGGGCCTCCTACAAGTGAAACATCCTGTAGTTACGAAGCTAGTGGTGCTGGCTGCACTCCTCAGTCTTCCCCAAACTGATGAACAAGACCCACATGTAACACCTGAGAATCTATTGATGTAGACGTTTCGCCATCTTCTTGCACCATCGTCAGCAGTGGAGACGGTGCAAGAAGTGGAGAGGTAAAAATATGTCTCATTCATCCACCTCTCGGTATAATACGCAATTAACGTTAAGTATTTTCTCAGCTTGTTACTAACAAGAGTGAAAATTTTAAATTTAAATTTGTATATTTGATGATGGATGAGCTAATAATATTATCTAATGAATATTTCTTTGGTATAATGTAACCAGTAATTTATTTCTAAAGAAATTACAAACCAAAAGGTCTTATTTAACTTAATATGAGCTGTAGCAACGCAGGATATACACACTGAGATGTATATTTCCCTCAGTGTATATACACTAAGGTGTATTTCTCAGCGTATATACACTGATAGTTTACTCTAATACCTATTTTAGGGTATTAAAGTATTCTTGTCTGCTAAATGAAAAGATTACATGCAGCCTTAATGATACGAGTGCAGTCGATAGGCTTTAAACCCCCCACCTCCATAAACCATGGAGCCAGGTGCTCACCTTGGCCGCCTCTGCGTGGTGCTCACCAAAGAGAGCACAGCACTGCTCAGCGATGGAGCGAAGAACTTGCTCAGAGGTTGAGGAGGCTGGAGTCAGACCCACCAACCTGCAACACCAGCGCTGAGATTACTCCAGGATGGTGCGAGTCAGACGTGTGTGTATACGGTGGGAGTCAGATATGTGTGTGTATATGATGGTGGGAGTCAGATGTATGTGTGTGTATGATGGTGAGAGTCAGATGTGTGTGTATATGATGCTGGGAGTCAGACATGTATGTATACGATTGTGGGAGTCAGACGTATGTATACAATAGTTTGAATGAGACATGTGCACAGGACGGTGAGAATGAGACACATGCACAAGTATTCGTCGTCAGGTACTCACCTGACGACGACGTGGAAGGAGGTGGTCTAGGTACTGACCTGACAACGAGGGGGTAGTCCGGGACCCACTCACAGCATCTCTCAGTGGTCTTGGCGATGAGAGAGGTCTTCCCGCAGCCCTCCTCACCGTGCACCACCAACGGTGCACATGAGTCACTGTTCACGTACCTGCACAACAATACCTACTTGTACACCACAGTAATGAGAATGTCACAGAATCATGGAAGGTGTACCGAGGAACGGTACCACGGCCTCACACCCCTTCAGAGTACAAGAGTACATGTACTTGAATAAACAGAGAAATAAACGGGGATTTCTGTTTATTAACTGACTGACGTTTATTACGTCTTAGGTTGTGTTTGTGTATACTCTCGTGTATACTTTTTTTTCCACTATTGTACAAGTACGCGTGTGTATAGGTCCAGGTTTGGAATCTTTTATATTGCAGTTTTTTTAGCCGGGACGGTAGCGATCTCAGGTGTGAAGCCGCTGGATACGTTCCCGGTGCCGCTGGTTACATTCCCGATACCGCTGGTTACGTTTCCGGTACCGCTGGATCCGTTCACGGTACCGTTGAATCAGTCCATGAAACCGTTGGATCCATCCACGGTACACCTTACACAATACACACATGAACCACAGCTTACACTCCGCCACACTAGCATCATCACCGCTCAGAATACTAAGCTAATTGTCAATCTTTTACATGAGATATACAGACAGACGTTGAGCGGATTATTCACCAGCTCTCCACCTTCCCGGAATATGCGCGGTAAAATGTGTCTGGAAAAAATGGTTATGTGTTGAACTAGAAGTCGTCAGCAAACTCAACGAGAGATTTGTGTCTTAACCAGCAGCACTAAACTAAGAAAGACTTTTTCAGTTTGAACAATATTACAAACTGGAATTAATACCAGACTGTGAAGACAGGCGTGGTGTTCAGGTGCGGAAATCTGGGGGTATAAACCAAGGACGTGGTTACTCATAAGTGACTGACAATGTCCCCAGGACGTGCTTAGTCTCATAAGTGACTGAGCGTCCCCAAGACGTGGTTAGTCTCACCTCATAAGTGACCGACAGTGTCCCCAGGACGTAGTTAATCTCACCTCACAGGTGACTGACAGTCCCCAGGACGTGGTTACTTACAAGTGACTGACAGTCCCCAGGACGTGGTTAGTCTCACCTCACAAGTGACCGACAGCGTCCCCAGGACGTGGTAAGTCTCACCTCTTGATCTTTGCTAGCAGCTCCTGGCGACCCTCAAAGCCCTGGCAGAGTGCCTGGCAGCTGAGGGACTGCTGCATCAGCTCGTGGAAGAGCCGCTTCTCGATGCCCAGGTATGTCTTCAACTCCTCCTGCAAAGGAATTTTAAATTTCCTCGATAATTTCACGATTAATCAATTATACACGAGTGTAAAACAGTGGAAATAAGCCAAGGATCCCAATGGAAATAAGTCAAGCCACTTTACCTGGCTTTTATTGGGTCACCCTACGTAATTTACACTGTATGATAACTGCACTTATGTGTACCTGTGTCTAAATAAACTCAATAATCAAGACAGACGCAACTTCCAAAACAAATTCTAATCGGAATGTTTTTATCTATCAGTAAGACACATGTGCCACACCCGGATCTCTATCATGAAGATGTCTCTCAACCAGTGACTTACATAATAGAATACAGGTGGGCTCTATTTTACAACGCTTTACTTTACAGCGTTTCGCTAATGCAGCAGTTTTCAATTAAACATTAAAATGGTATAAAATACCGACAGGTTGTTAGGTAAGACACATATGCAACAGTTAGGTATCTTTATTTCGACGAAGTTGATTGTAGGTCTGTACCAAGATACCCTTGTGTTGCAGTGTCAGACAGATTGAACATTAAAATGGTATAAAATACCGACAGGTTGTTAGGTAAGATACCTAACTGTTGCATATGAGTTTTCAATTACACCATTCTTCATTTATTCAGACTTCCTATAATAAATAGTCACTACTCACTAAACCTAACGACGAAAATATTTTAAGATAAGTAATGTGTATACTGCTCTATTGTACACTTAATATATGATAGTGTAAATATATTAACAGGCTTTTATATGCATTTGAAAGTGTAAAAAGGCTATGATTCACTTTACAGCGATTTTCGCTTTACAGCAGTAGCTTGGAACCTAACCTGCTGTATAAGCGGGGCCCTCCTGTATATACAGAAGACAGTAGAAGATGAGGTAATCAGTCCCTCAGCCCTGAGGTGTTCAGTCTTATTCATTGACTTGTAAATACTTTACATCATTAATGAAGGTAATTTATTTTGTCTGTCCCAGTAAGCTCTGTAGCGTGCAGCGTCATCCGATCTGCAGCATCACTGCGTCGTGTCGCATGGACGCAACTCCGACTCTGAGTAAAGGTTTAGAAAAACCATTGGACTGAAGAAGCCACTGGCTGGCGAAACATTTCCATTATTATTATGGTGGAGCGCTAAACCTGTAGAGATTATTCAGCACCTGTGTTGGGGGGACTACTGGAAGACATTCAGGCTTAGTTCAGGGAACTGAAGCACAGATCCAATTCCCTAGATCAAGAGCCCCCACCAGCATCAAGGAACCTCCCTTGAGGGGGCAAAACGTTTCCAGAATAAAGATACCCAAATATTGCACAAGTGTCTCATTTAGCAACCAGATTCATCGTGTTTCTCATTCCATTCATTGTGACGCAAACTGCAGTCATGATTAAGAAATAATTTCTCACAGATAAGTAATTTATTGACTGTCTTCACCAACACCCTTGAACGGGGCAGGGGTAGGTAGGGGAAGGTTCCTTCAGGCTGGTGCAGAGTTCTTGATCCAAGGAAGTGAGCTACCCTCTTCTTTGAATCAAGCCTGATTACCCCCCCCATTCCCCGTCCCTACGGGCTTAGTGCTTCTCAATAAATATAATAATAATTATAATTATTAAGAATGCAAGCTAACAAGTGAGATTTGTATCCAATATTCTGTATAGCCCTTGTGGTTTAGCGCTTCTTTTTGATTATAATAATAATGTATCCAATATTAAGCAACTTCAGGTAACTTAACACAACTTCAAGTGACATAATACAATTTAAGGTGATAAGGTAATAAAAGAACGTATAAAACACCTGTTATTAACAAACTCAGACGATGACAAGAAAATAGACAAGAGTGCTGAGTATTATAGCCTCACACTTGTCTCTGTTGAAGAGGGTCTCAGTGTGAGGCCGAAATATCCAGCAGTAATGTGATAACATGCCAGGAGAGTGTCTTGATGCTTCTGAAGGGTTCTTGATCCTAAGAATTGAAGCTACCCTCTCTATTTTTGCATCAAACCAAATTATTGTATTTTATGCGTCGAAGACGCTATTTTCTCCCCAAAATAACAGGACCTACCTTGTTCTCGTCCTCCTCTATAATGCCGTCGATGATAGAGATGAGGAGCGGGGAGACCTGAGCACACAGGTCCTCCACATACTGTGCGTGCTCCCCCACCTCGGTGCTCAGGCCGCTGCTGTGCCACTTAACGCGGAACCTGAGCATCCTGATTTCATCGAGCCGCTCCTGCAGCGTCAGGAAAGATGCGTTGGTCATACTAGTTACAGAGACGTACCTGTGATCAGGCGTAGTCGTGTGAATGGTTCATTACCTTCGTAACTTTTTCAACTATCAAAACTTTGGGGCCCAGTCCCTGTACCCATTATGTACCTCTAATCTTTTTGACTACCGCCCACAGGATGGGTATGGGGTGCATAGTAAAGATATTAAACTATCTTTAACTAACCACCTGCGTCTGAAGCGACAGGGTCATCAAACTGGTTATGGAGATGCGGTAGCTACCAGTATCAATAAGAAAATCGTCAAACTACCTCTTCGTTTTCCAGGGTTTGTAAGGGCCATTGACAGCTTACGTCGTATCGAGCCCTACTTCCCGATGTATGGAGAAGAGATATTACCCAAAGCTGGACATTGAAAGAAAAGAGAACTGGTGTCCCTTTCCAAAGAGAAAGAGAAACAAGAAATTCCCAAGTAGGTCAAGTGGACCCTCCTTGCCAAACCCCAGAAGAGCCAGACGCCCATAACCTCCCCTGAGTTCAGGAACCAGCTTCCCACCAAAACCGTCAAAGATATATCCGCAGAGCGGAAAAATGGATCCGGGCAAAATAAGATTAGGACAAGCGTCCCAGAGAGAACGGAGGAAATTTCTCACTGATGCTCAGGCGAGAAAGAGACGTCCACACTCGATGAAGGTGCAGAGGTCCCCGGTCGTCAAACTGGTTATGGAGACTTGAGTAGCCACCAACGTCTTACTGCTGTGGTTTATAAGGTCACGGACAACTTAAGTCGTACGGAACCTTATAGCCACCAGCGTCAGGATTCAAGACCCCACACTCATCTACCGATCCCTTCCCCTCCCTTCTCCCACTCCTCCATGCTATCTCCGTCTTCTTTCCTCCCTTTCATTCATTCTACTCTTATTCGCCCCCTCACTCTTTTTCGGCAACTCTACAAATATGGTGGTGCCCACGTAATAGTAACTCTAAACTCAGATGATGCAAGACATTTCTATTCTTTCGTAGCTACTGAACTCATAGAGACCTACTGAAATCTCCCAGGTCAGGCTAACAGATTTAATAACCAGCTATCAACCACAAAAATAGTGGATGAGAAAAAGAATAGCTTCCCAGAGCAGGCTGAGTGTGCTGCAGCCACCAACAACATGAAAAGCATTTGCTAACATTATGAAAGACACCACTAATTTATCAATAATTCTGTCACTATCAATACTTAATTAAGTTTAATCATAGAAGCGTAGACTCCCACGAACACAGCTTTATTCCCGTGAGTGTAACACATGGATACACACACACGGTGTTACATACCTTGAGCTCACTCTGAAGGAGCTCAAGCCGCTTCCTGCTGTCGGGGTCAGTGGTGACGTAGAGCTTGCCCTGCGCTGGAACGTTGTGTGAGGGGAAGTGTGTGAACTTGCGACAGAGCCACAGACACTGCTTGGCACTCTCCTGGTTCACGAGGACGCTCTCCTGAATCTCCTGTAATAGCCAAGGTCGGAAGACAGAAGTGATGGTTAAGAACACACGCAAGGTTAAGGGATGGAGAGAAATACTAGCTGGATTAGAAAATACTGCAGGAAATATTAACTAGTTTAAAGATAAGGTCATAGTATTTATGGAGGAAATAGTAATCGGCTTAAAGGTAACGTCATAGTAATTACTGGAGAGAAATACTAATTGGACTAAATGAAGGAGCAGTGTTCGCTGGAGGGATCAAATTCTCCCACTCGCACCTGCTGCACCTCCAGCATGACCCACCTGCTCCATCACAGTGGATAGGTACTTCTCCTTCATACCCTGGCTAAACACCCCTCTCAACAGTGTAATCATCTTCTTGACTTCGTTGTGCCAGTCGTGGAGTGCCTCCTGTCGCAGCGTGGCACTGCTGGTGTCCTGCGGGAGGGAGGGAGGTTACACTGGTGCTACACTGCCGTTACACTGCACTTTCACACACACTAGACATAACACTATATTTACTCTTGCGTGTTATTACGACAAATAAATTAATTACATTTAGTTTTAGAGACAACCCAAGTAACAAAGAAAGTCACGTTACCCTGGCTGTGATATAACAAATAACCCACATCTTGGAGATGGAAATTCAGACGATAATGATGTTTCAGCACGGACTGAAACTTCTTCCATAATTTCCTCTTCAACTTGTGGCTTACTCATGAGAACAAATAACGAGACAAAATATAGCTGTTACATCCCTTATTAATGACGAATGATAACATTTTATCAGACTGTGATGTCAGTATATTGCAGCAAGTCAGAGTAACTTTCCACAACTTGCATGCATTTTTTTGGTTAATTATTGTAAGCTAGAGAATTCTAGTCAGTGTACAACTATTTTCTTACTTAGATAAGCTGTAATAAAACCTTTTTCTGCTAGAATCTTCCTTAAATAAACCATATATGATGCATTAAATATATTTTGGTATTTTCAAGTTATGTATAAATTCTTTATTTAATATTAATATCATGTACATGACACTAATATACAGCTTGTGTGATTGTTACTCTCTGACCACAGCCACACTAGTGTGACGTCTCACAGCTGTGCCACACTAGTGTGACGTCTCAGAGGTGTGCCACACTAGTGTGACGTCTCAGAGGTGTGCCACACTAGTGTGACGTCTCACAGCTGTGCCACACTAGTGTGACGTCTCAGAGGTGTGCCACACTAGTGTGACGTCTCACAGCTGTGCCACACTAGTGTGACGTCTCACAGCTGTGCCACACTAGTGTGACATCTCACAGCTGTGCCACACTAGTGTGACGTCTCACAGCTGTGCCACACTAGTGTGACGTCTCAGAGGTGTGTCACACTAGTGAGACATCTCACAGCTGTGCCACACTAGAGTGACGTCTCACAGCTGTGCCACACTAGTGTGACGTCTCAGAGGTGTGTCACACTAGTGAGACATCTCACAGCTGTGCCACACTAGTGTGACGTCTCACAGCTGTGCCACACTAGTGTGACGTCTCACAGCTGTGCCACACTAGTGAGACATCTCACAGCTGTGTCACCCTAGTGAGACGTCTCAGAGGTGTGTCACCCTAGTGAGACGTCTCAGAGCTGTGCCACACTAGTGAGACGTCTCAGAGCTGTACCACACTAGTGAGACGTCTCAGAGCTGTGCCACCCTAGTGAGACGTCTCACAGCTGTGCCACACTAGTGAGACGTCTCACAGCTGTGCCACACTAGTGAGACGTCTCACAGCTGTGCCACACTAGTCAGACGTCTCAGAGTTGTCACACTAGTGAGACGTCTCAGAGCTGTGCCACACTAGTGAGACGTCTCAGAGCTGTGCCACACTAGTGAGACGTCTCAGAGCTGTGCCACACTAGTGAGACGTCTCAGAGTTGTGCTACACTAGTGAGACGTCTCAGAGCTGTGCCACACTAGTGAGACGTCTCACAGCTGTGCCACACTAGGGAGACGTCTCACAGCTGTGCTACACTAGTGAGACGTCTCACAGCTGTGCAACACTAGTGAGACGTCTCACAGCTGTGCCACACTAATGAGACGTCTCACAGCCGTGCCACACTAGTGAGACGTCTCACAGCTGTGCCACACTAGTGAGACGTCTCACAGCTGTGCCACACTAATGAGACGTCTCACAGCTGTGCCACACTAGTGAGACGTCTCACAGCTGTGCCACACTAGTGAGACGTCTCACAGCTGTGCCACACTAGTGAGACGTCTCACAGCTGTGCCACACTAGTGAGACGTCTCACAGCTGTGCCACACTAGTGAGACGTTTCACAGCTGTGCCACACTAGTGACGTCTCACAGTTGTGCCACACTAGTGAGACGTCTCACAGCTGTGCCACACTAGTGAGACGTCTCACAGTTGTGCCACACTAGTGACGTCTCACAGCTGTGCCACACTAGTGACGTCTCACAGTTGTGCCACAATAGTGACGTCTCACAGCTGTGCCACACTAGTGAGACGTCTCACAGCTGTGCCACACTAGTGAGACGTCTCACAGCTGTGTCACACTCGTGAGACGTCTCACAGCTGTGCCACACTCGTGAGACGTCTCACAGCTGTGCCACACTAGTGAGACGTCTCACAGCTGTACCACACTAGTGGAGACGTCTCACAGTTGTGCCACACTAGTGACGTCTCACAGCTGTGCCACACTAGTGACGTCTCACAGTTGTGCCACACTAGTGACGTCTCACAGTTGTGCCACACTAGTGACGTCTCACAGCTGTGCCACACTAGTGAGACGTCTCACAGCTGTGCCACACTAGTGAGACATCTCACAGTTGTGCCACACTAGTGAGACGTCTCACAGCTGTGCCACACTAGTGAGACGTCTCACAGCTGTGTCACACTAGTGAGACGTCTCACAGTTGTGCCACACTAGTGACGTCTCACAGCTGTGCCACACTAGTGAGACGTCTCACAGCTGTGCCACACTAGTGAGACGTCTCACAGCTGTGTCACACTAGTGAGACGTCTCACAGTTGTGCCACACTAGTGACGTCTCACAGTTGTGCCCCACTAGTGACGTCTCACAGCTGTGCCACACTAGTGACGTCTCACAGCTGTGCCACACTAGTGACGTCTCACAGCTGTGCCACACTAGTGACGTCTCACAGCTGTGCCACACTAGTGAGACGTCTCACAGCTGTGTCACACTAGTGAGACGTCTCACAGTTGTGCCACACTAGTGATGTCTCACAGTTGTGCCCCACTAGTGACGTCTCACAGCTGTGCCACACTAGTGACGTCTCACAGCTGTGCCACACTGGTGACGTCTCACAGCTGTGCCACACTAGTGACGTCTCACAGCTGTGCCACACTAGTGACGTCTCACAGCTGTGCCACACTAGTGACGTCTCACAGCTGTGCCACACTAGTGACGTCTCACAGCTGTGCCACACTAGTGACGTCTCACAGCTGTGCCACACTAGTGACGTCTCACAGCTGTGCCACACTGCTCGCCTTCCATCGCTTACTCTTCACGTCGAACACCATCTGTATTTATTAAAGTAAATTATAAGATATGTTTTGAGAGATTATTATTATTATTATTATTATTATTATTATTATTATTATTATTATTATTATTATTATTATTCAAATTTCTCATTTACAAACCGATCTGTAATTGTGTTTACTTTATATATTTAAATTGTTAGTAGTAATGATATTCAATATTTTGAAATGACGTTAATTGGTTTATGTGGCTCTTGTAACGTAATGTATTAAGCTGCCTTTAGTATCACACACACACACACACACACACACACACACACACACACACACACACACATACATGGGAGATAGAGCTCAAAAAAAGGGAGGAAGACTGGGGAAGGAGACTAGATGAGCTGGAAAGGAAGATGGAAGAGAGGTTAGCAGCAGAATGCAGAAGGTGGAAGAAACAGCCACAGAAGCAGAAATAAAGATAGAGAGATTAGAAGATGAGCTGAGACGTCTGAAACAGCACAGAGACAAAGATATTACAGAAGTAGCATCGGCAATGGCTAAATTAAACACAGACAACAGGTCTGAAGGAAGCATGGAAACTAAACTATATGCAGAGGTCCTGTAAAACCCCACATGGGGCCAAACAAAGACAGGGAGCACACTAGGACAGAAAGAGAGGTTGGAAGACATCGAAGGAACTAGGACTGTGCAAGGACCTTCCCAGAAAACCCTGTGTGGGCCAGGAGCAGGTGAGCAGGAAGGATAAACCAAGAAGCATAGGGGCCATAACGAGGGAAGGGACTGAAGGAAGGAACACTCCACGGGAAGGAACTAAAACACATCAAGGATGCAATGGAGTCACAGTGGGAGGTGGAAAGGGAGAGATCCGTGTTTGTCTATGGGCTAGACGAAGCTAAAGGGGAAACTTATGATGAAAGAAAGCAGGAGGAGAAAAAAAGCGATTGAAGACATCATGAAGGTGAAAAGGCGAGGGGGACATGACCCAGGTGGCAAATTTTCGGAGAATTGGGTGGTTCACAAAGAAAAGGAATCGGCCTCCCCAAAGTAATTTTCAAGGCAGAATCAACCCGAACCATGATCCTGCAGGAGAAAGCACGGCTGAGAGGCAAGCGGGTTCCGGAGTGTGTACCTCGACCGAAAACAGAACACAGGACGAAAGGAAGACAATGAAAGAGAGAGTTCAAAAACGAAAGGGGGAAATGGGAGGAAATGAAAAAGGAGAGCAGAATGACCCGGGATCAAATGGAAGGACAAGCGCACCCCCAGAAACACCTGCAGAAGGACTCCAGCCACGACACCCCCAAGGAAAACTGAACAATCCAAACCAACCATCACACACCGATCCCTCTGTTTCCACCCCCCGCACACAGTTACAGTATTAGAACAGAAGTTGAAGGTTTGGTACACAAATGCAGATGGATTAACGAATAAACATGGGGAATGGCAAGAAAGAATCAATGAGAAGTCCCCAGACATCATAGCAGTTACAGAAACAAAACTCATGGAGACAATAACAGATGGCAATCTTCCCACCAGGATACCAGATCATGAGGAAAGATAGAAGGGGCAGGGGGGGAGGGGGGGTTGCTCTGCTCGTAAAAACAGATGGAAATTTGAGAAAATGGAAGGAATAGATGAGAGGGGGAGAAAAGGGGACTACATAGCAGGTACACTTCAGTCGGGGGAAAACACAAAGTGGTCATTGCAGTGATGTATATCCACCCACAGAACTGCAGGAGGCCAAGAGAGGAATATGAAGAGAGCAACAGAGCAATGGTGGACACACTTCCTGAGGTGGCAAGAAGAGCTCACTCCAGCAGAGCAAAGTTGCTGGTTATGGGGGATTTCAACCACAGGGAGATTGACTGGGGAAAAACCTGGAGCCACATGGGGGTCCCGAAACATGGAGAGCCAGGATGTTGGACGTGGGCTGGAAAACCTCATGCACCAACATGTTAAGGGACACTCCCAGAGTGAGAGGGGAGGATGAACCAGCAAGATTGGACCTTGTGTTCACCCTGGGCAGCTCAGACATTGAGGACATCAAGTTGAGAGTCCCCTAGGAGCTAGCGACCCCCGTGGTTCTGTGCTTTGAATACATAGTAGAGCTGCAAGTGGGGAGAATAACAGGAGTAGAATGGGAAAAGCCTGACCATAAAAGAAGGGACTTTCATAGGGTTGAAGAACTTCCTGCGGGAGGTCCAGTGGGACAGAGAACTGGCAGGAAAGCCAGTAAATGAAATGATGGAATAATGTAGCAACAAAATGCAAGGAGGCAGTGGAAAGGTTTTATCCAAGGGCAACAGTAACAACGGGAAGACCAGAACAAGCCCCTGGTTCACCCGACGGTGTAAGGAGGCAAAAAAAAAAGTGCAATAGAGAATGGAAAAAGTACAGAAGGCAGAGAAACACACGAAAATAGGGAGATCAGTCGCAGAGGGCCCGGAATGAGTACGCACAGGTAAGGAGGGAGGCCCCCGCGCAGTATGAAAATGACATAGCATCGAGAATCAAGACAGACCCCAAACTGTTGTATAGCCCCCATCAGGAGGAAGACAACAGTCAAAGACCAGGGGATCAGATTAAGGACAGAGGTGGAGAACTCACAAGAAAAAGATCAGGAGGTATGTGAGGAGCTGAACAGGAGATTTTAAGGAATTTTTAAAAGTAGAGACTGGAAGGGCTGTGGGGAAAACAGAACAGAAGGGAACATCAAGAGGGAATATACCAACAAGTGTTGGATGACATAAAAAACAACTGAGGAGGAGGTGAAGAAGCTCTTAAGTGACCTTGACACCTCAAAGGCGATGGGGCGGGGGACAACATCTCCCCATGGGTCCTTAGAGAAGGAGCAGAGATGCTGTGTGTGCCTCTAAAACCCCAATCTTTCACACATCCCGTGAAAACTGGGCAACTACCTGAGAAATGGAAGACAGCTAATGTAGGTCCCCATATTTAAGAAAGGAAACAGAAACGAGGCACTAAAACTACAGACCTGTGTCTCTGACATGTAAATTTTGTGCAAAGTCATGGAGAAGATTATCAGGGGGAGAGTGGTCGAACACCTGGAAAGGAACAAGATTATAAATGAAAACCAGCATGGGTTCATGGAAGGCAAATCTTGTATCACAAACCTCCTGGAGTTTTATGACAAGGTAACAGAAGTAAGACATGAGAGAGAGGGTTGGGTAGATTGCGTTTTCCTAGACTGCGGGAAGGCCTTTGACACAGTTCCCCACAAGAGACTAGTGCAGAAGCTGGAGGATCAGGCACACGTAAAAGGAAGGGCACTGCAATGGATAAGGGAATACCTGACAGGAGGCAGCAACGAGTCATGGTACGTGAAGAGGTATCACAGTGGGCGCCTGTTACGAGCGGGGTCCCACAGGGGTCAGTTCTAGGACCAGTGCTATTTTGATATATGTGAACATGATGGAAGAATAGACTCTGAAGTGTCCCTGTTCGCAGATGACGTGA